TTTTAAGTTATTATTGAATGTAAAATATTATTATTAGTAGTAGTGGTAGTAGCAGTACATACAGTGATGTGATGCTGAAGTCAAGTTAGCTAACATCACATTGACGAATAACTAACTTTACAAAGTAATAATAATAAAATAATAATATCCTGTATTCTGTCTTGTATCCTATATCATGATCACCTGTGTGACCACAGCCATGCAGCTGGTGGTGGTCAGTAAAACTAGGTTCTTGTTTCCTTTCATGCAGCCCTATTAAGTAAGTGCATGTTGGCCACTATCCAGTGTTTTCAGGTCCAAATTTTAACAGATGTGAGGCGATGCTGATCTGACAGAATGCGATCATCAGTTGGCCTTCTTTGGCACCATTTCTTCATCGTTGTCTTGGTGTGTCTGGATCCTTAGTGACCTCACAATGCAGCCTACTGCATCCTCAAGCTCCTCAGGCCACAGAGTATAACAACTGTCGACTGTCTTTTTCTTTATCAGTCTTTGAACTTCAAGGTCACGACACACAGGAAGAGAGAGACAGATCTAACAACCACCCGTGCTGTTTGTATATAACAGCAGAAAGAAGCCCAGAGAAAGTTCTATAATCTTAACGATACTCTTATACTCACGGGACCTCCTGTTTCGGTGTCTGGCTCTCTGTGTGACCTGAGTTAAACGGAGGGCACCTCTGTGACCACATTACTGTTTAGATCCTCACCCGTGTTCCCTCGCTCTCACACACTATGATAAAGAGTGAGTGGTGGAGACAGAGAGAGAGTTTCCTCAGACATTTTATCAGGCACAGCCTTGTTGAGGGGTGGAGGGTAAGCCACTCAAAGAGAACGCTTCGCTCTACATGCTGCGTGAGCTGGCTGTCTTAATTACAGCCAGTGAGGAGCCTTTAGTTACGCAACGGAAGTCCTTTTTGAATTGTAATGTAACGTAATTTGATGTTAGTATTTAGACATTCTAGTTTGCTTGTTTAATTATGATATCTTGGTTTCTTGGTTTATCAGTTCCCCCTTTTTCTGTCCATGTCTGAGTGAATGTGTCATTTATAGCATGTCGCTGTTGTCGGAACAAAACCTCGTATCTCCAAAATGGTAACTTTACAGAAGAAGGAAAAAACCTTCTTTACCTTTAATGTAAGTCAGTGGAACCAGATGTTTTTCCAAGTGACTTTGGGTCGTTTCTTTTGGCCCATTCATCATTAAATTTACACACAATGTAAAGAACAACAGGCTTTTTCAAATTATGTCAAAAACTGAGAAAAGACAGAAACGTAGATACAAGGTTTTTTTCCAACAGCAGTGATATGAAGCCTGCCAACAGGAATGTGAGGACATTTTAATGTCAACGTGAATCAGAAATCATAATGCAATTTCCATCTGCATCATGACGTATTTCCGAGTGAAACGTGTTATCAGAGCATCTCTGATCTATTTTTCACCCAATGATAGGTGGCGGAGGCAGTGAAAGGTAAAACATGATATTATTGGTCAGGATTATTTTCCCTGCTCGCTGGTGTACATGATATAATAAATCATGCTTAGTATGATCACGAATTAACAAAGTGAAAAAAGTCTATTTTGATTTCAGGTTGACTTTAAGCAACATATACATGATATGCCATAATAATATGGCTTCATGGAGCCATAATAAAATCAATTTAAACACGGACAAACACTGTTTGACCTTCTCTGACTCCTCAAAGTATCATTTTAAAATATTCAATAATTCAATAATAACCAAAGTTTTAGTATTTCATTAGCAAATTCCAGTCCTTAATAGTTCATTAAATGTTCATTACCACCAGACAGGATCGAGTAAGTATGATAAACAATATTGAAAAGTTATTGATAGCAATATTTTCATTATCTAAAGCCACAGGTATGTTACACTTATATTCAACAATGCTGGTCAAACGTTCTGTTGACTTTCTAAGTGAAAAGGTTTGGTATAAGTTCTGCAGACCCAGGTGTACATACAGGTAAACAAATGGCTGATTTTCAGTGGACTTGCATCAAATTCTTTTAAAATAAAGATAAAAAATGTATATGTATGTTTATATATGCTTTTATATATATATATATTTGATAGAGTTTGTTTTGCTAGCTTACTGGAAACTGTGGCCTGCTAGGCTAGCTGGCTACAAGTGCCAGACTGTTAGCAGTAGCAAGCAAAGATAAACTGCAAGTATGTCCTCTATTACCAGTTACATTTATTATTAATTATCTAACTTCACTTGAAGCCTGTAAAGAGCACTTATAATGCTTCATAAGGCATTATGTACTGTAGTGAAAATTCTTTAATATTTAAAAGATATTTGAAAAAACTCATTTCACTTAAATCCTGTAATGGCTTGGTATAAAGTGTTATAGTGCACTACAACGTAAGTGCATACAATGTTCTTATGAACAGATATTATAATGCATTATGGAACCTGACTTAATACAGTCATATACGCTTGCTTTATAAAGTGTTATGTGTGTAATAATAACTATTTAAAAGCAATTGTACAAGCTTTTGGTTATATATGCCATATAAACACCTTATAAATGCATGATGAACACAGGCTTCATACACTCTCAGAAATAAAGGTACTAAACTGTCACTGGGTCAGTTCCCCTCTTTAGTCAGGGAACATAACTGAACCATAATCCACTGAAATGATATGTTCTCCACACACCCCGTCTCGTCTCCAGGCTTGTATTTTACTGTTTTGTTTAAAACATTCGGTTATGAAAAGGTACAAATACGAACTTTTCACCTGGAAAAACTTATTTAAGCGTCACAAACAGACCTTAAAACCACGGTTGGAGCTTTGAGGGAACATTTACACTGTTTGTACCTTGATGAATGAGAAATGTACCTGAACAGAACCTTTATTACTAACAGTGCAGGAAGTGTTACCAAAACGTCTTTTAGAGTTTTGCCACATTTTTCATATACAAATGAAAAACTCGAAAACAAAGACGTGAACCAATCTATATTTAAATTGAATTCAAAATACAATGTAAGTTCAATTCATTACATAACTAACTACAGTTATATGCAAAAGTTTGAACACCCTCGGTCAAATGGAAATAAGTTAATGCATCCACTACAGGAAACAAAATTAAATAATAAGCATTTTTCTGCACGTTTTTGTGCACCGTTGCTTTTTTTGCCGAGATTCACATTAGGAAAAAAGCAATAAAATACAAAAATAGGCCATAACTTTTGCACAGGCCACTTTTGTTTTATTTTTTCCACCAATATGTTAAATTCAGCAAATAAACACTAATGATGCATTTAAATGTACTAAAGTGTCTGTAAGCTTATTTTCACTTAGACAATGAACAAAACATGTCATCAGACTGGGGCGTAATGATGTAATTGCATTTAAATAATTATGCAGCCTCATGTAAAAGTGTGGTAAGTGTTCAGATGGTTTACTTCAGTGTTTTTATATCCACTCGGGGAAAATCTGACCTGCTGCTATGATTTTCAGACTGAAACAGTTCTGTGGATGAAGTTCTGTGATTAATTCGTCACTAAGAGATCTCTTAAGAGGCCGTGTGTGTGTGTGCCTGTCAGTGGGACGAGAGACCTCTCTGGGTCGGGCATAACCCCTGAGGGTGGGGGGTCTTCCCTCTATGTATGGATCAGTGATAATCCTCAATGTGACATCCTCAGCTGCGTCAATTATGCTAATCACGCACAAGCTCGTTACGCTGAGCCTTCATTACTGTCAAACGCCAGCAGGACGGGTTTCACACCCCTGCAATATGAACCTGGCTCAAAAAGGATGAGCTGTGCTTTTTTAGCTCATGTTGTGATACGATCAGTCTAGACAGAGGGAAGCTTCATTCTAGATCAGCAGATCTCTGGACAGATTCAGTAAATGGTCATTAAGTAACGAGTACTGGAAAATGCTGCACACACACCAAGTGTCCAGGATTTCTCATGAACCTACACTCCTTGACCATCCGGTACATCTACCATACAGGTCCACTTTCTAGGTTTCCAGTTACCAGAGATGTTCAGAAGTCGCTTCAGTCCAAGTCGAGTCTTGAGTCTCTGGGGTTTGAGGTGGAGTCAAGTTTTGAGTTTTGAGGTGTAACAGAGTCTCACGTCTTTAGTAGAGAATGTTAGATTTGTCTCATTATTAACTGCAGGAACTGCATTGTATAAAAGTAAACCCTGCTAAAACCTATCAGGACTGACACGGCTTCAAATAACGAGCCTTTCATAGAAAAGCGTCCGTCTGAAGGACAGAACTGAACACTGAAAACTGATAATCAAAGGAAAGCTTTGGTCACTTTTATTTGTTTAGCGTGGAAAAAGGCACGAGCCCAAACTCAGCACCTTTGGATCCATCTTATGTTATAAGAACGCAGTTTCTTACAGATTTAATTTTGTGATATTTTCATTGGCGTCAGAGAAGTTCTTTTTGAGCAGTCACAAATCTGGCAGGCTGGCTTCCAACTGAGAGGCCTATGCCCCCAGTTTGTAGCTATGCCCTTGGCTTAACTGCCAAAATGGCCAATGAGTGTAGCTACAAGTACCTAATAAACTGGCATCTGTTGTGTGGATTACAGTATGTAACATCTAGAGCTGTGAAAGAATTTGACATAAGATGTACTTTCTGTACAGTGTCAGCTGTAGAGGCTCTTATATTTATTTCATTCCAGGAGGAGGCATTTCCGGGCAATTGCACTGGATGCAGAGGGCAGTGCCTGCTGGTAAGAGCCAATAAAGAACTCTCATCCATGAACGGCCTTCAGCAAAGACACAGTCAATTACCTAATGCGAGGACTTCAGGGTGGTTGGTTAAGGTGGGGGGCTTCTTCCCCTCATTTCCTTGTGGGTTTTTATTAAATTGCTGTCAGATTTGACAAATTTGTGACAGGGGTCTGGAGTGGGGTGTCTTTTTCCCTGCTGAGTCATGCCATGTTGGGCACATATGGAGCACATGCTTGTGCAAGTACAGAGCGCATTCTGTCTGTGTGCTGCTGGTATTGTACCTTTTTCGTCTCAAGCTGGCTCCTGTTCTCCTCTCGGAAGTGCTTTGTCCCGTACTCCGTCTGCTGATATGGAGAGGCAGCGTGGAGCAGAGGTTCATACTTTTTGTTTGGGGCCTTCGAGAAAGGCAGAAATCTATATGGCCAAGAGAAGAAAAACCAATAAATAGAAGTCAGTCCTTTACAAAAATCACCTCTTGCCGACTTCTTTTGAAACCTTCTAAGTAATGTTTGATTTTCAAAGTCTCGTTTCAATGAAATACGGAAAAATGAAAACGTTTTCAAAGGTACATTAGGTACATTTAGCAAAATTCAGCTTCATATTCATTAAAGGATGCATTGACTGCTTAAAACATGATACAGTTAGTGTTATAGAAGTTACAGTTACAGAAGTTTTATGGCTTCTTTGTCATTTTCTGTTGAAAATCAATTTGTCTGGAAATAAATTAAATGAAAGGTCTCTGACTTTTCAGAAACAAAGGCAGAAAAATGCCGTAGAAGCTAAACTGTTGGTTATTGACACAAGCAAATTTTCCAAAAATGTTTGGTTTTCAGAGTTTATTTTCAATGAAATAAGAAAAAAAGGTTTTGTCAACAAAAGCGCCGTTTCCTAATCCTTTAAGTTTATCTGGCAATGCTCAGCTTCATGCCTCATGTTCAGTAAAGCGCCTTTCTTAGTATGAAGAGTGGGTCTTGCCTAAATAATGATAACAGTTTTGTTTTCTATAGTGTTAAAATCACATATTGACCTTTCACAGTCAAAATGGCTGTTTTGTACAGGAAATGAAACAAATGCCTCCAATCAAATCTACCAGGGTTTCATTTGTGCCACTTTCACTCTTCCATCCTTCTAATCTTAAAACCAAGAAGCTGTGTCCTCCCAACAAAAGCTGTTTTCAAAGGCATCACTGACAGTATGACCCCCTTCAAAGAGACACTATCATTTACACGAGCAGCTACCCAAACACGCCTTAACAGCCTCGCTGATTAATACATGGTTAAAATGGCTAAAGGAGATACTTCTGACAGATAAGATATAAGATAATCCACTTGTATTAGGAAGAAAGAGTCAAAGGAAAATAAGAGGAAAAAAGGAGTTTTTAAACTGGAGTTCAAAAAATTATGAACAGACGCAGAGAAAATGGGACTCAACACTGTGAGAGGAAAACTCAACACTGTGGGTCTGAAAGGATGTGAAAGGATGTGCAGTTAACAGTAAATAGACAATCTGGACCACTGAAACTGGAGAAAGGCTTCATGGACTGATGAGTCTAAGTTTCTAATTGGGATTATATTATTTGAGTGTTTTTTATATATATATATATATATATATATATATATATATATATATATATATATGTATGTGTGTGTGTGTGTGTGTATATATGTATATGTAAAATTGATTATTGTATTGATATTTGACATTATACCTAGTTGTTCTGGCTTCTCTGCTTCCATGTAATTTTCTGTTAAACATGTTAAACAAATGTAAATTAATTAAATTAAAGGGTGGTCTCTGTCTTTTGAGCAATATTGTAATGTTTTCAAAACATGTAAAAAAAAAACAAACAAAAACAGAAAAAAACCTGTTTGACTAAGTAACAGTTCCTGATTGAACTGTGTGTGGGATATAAAATATCATCACACTCTTCAAAATAAAGGTGCCCAAAAAGGTTCTTTGGAGCAACACCACAGAACACTAATACCATAGAGCCACTTTTGGTTTCCTAAACTCAGTTAAAGCCACTCCACTGAAAAGTTATTATAACCAAAAAATTAAAAATGAAAGAACCATTAATTGTTAAGAGTGCAGATGAAAATTCCGCATTGCTAGGGCTCAGAATTCCAGCTGTCAGCACACTCCATTAACCATCCCAGTAAGAATTTAATCTGAGTTTGTGATGCCCTCTGGTCCTTGCTAGTGCGTCCACTCACTGCTAATGTCTCTAGTTCTCCAACAGACAGTGGATATAACACTTACACACCACCACGTCTGTTCATCCCTCCCTTGAAAGCGCAACTCATTCTGGTCCAAAACGGAACGGCTTCTTAATCGCTTGATTTCTTGTGGGTTTCAGAGTCGTCTGTGTGTTTGTTGGGCACTTGTTCAATGCAAATGGCTGTTACTTAGGAAAAATGCCAGATGTTAATTACAGCGAGGTTGATTTTGTAAATTGCACCCAAGACACGTTGCCTGGAGGAAGATTTATCCGGCGCAGTACAAGAGGTGTCTGCACGAGCCTGGCTAAACGTCCTCTGGGCATTGGCTTGGCTCATCACAAAACAAACAAACAACCAACAATCCTGCCACTTCCTGGGAGCCCAATCTGCAATAAAAGGCCTTTTTATTCCTGCCGCTTGTCATATTCATCGCTTTTTTATGATGATATGACCACGAGCGCAGGTGGGAACGTGTACATTTTAATGCAATCAAAGCAGAGAGATATGGAAAGTGTACTAATAATAGTTCCATCTGGCAAACCGAGCCGTACAAACACTGAATGTGCCAACACGGCATTGTCTTTGAGCAGCGGGGAAAAAAATAAATAAAAAGAGCAAACCTTTTTCTGGAAACACCTTGTAAAAGTTAAGCTTTCTATAAATCATCCCTGGCATATGAATACCTCACGGTTGCCTTTTTCTGCTGCAGTTAATCGCACAAGGGGGAGAGAGAGAGAAATACTTCACTTGACAATTAATTTAGCAAATAAACAAACTGCAGAAGAATCGTCATTCTTTTCTTACTCTCCTCCCTGCACGCCTAAAGAAAACAAACAGAAAAATGAGGCCATTATTTACTAGAGAGATGGTGTATAATAACAATAGACTAATAAACTAGCAGAAATAACTGATAAATTGTTGACGGGATGGGGAACAAAAAAAGTTAGCATCAAACACAGCGCTGGCCCTTTAAATAATGGGCCGGTCTCGCACACGCACATCCTTCCCCACTAGAGACACCGGGCTCTCCGGCAAGACAGATTACAGTGCAAGCCATGCTAATGTGCACATGGGACGGACATCGCGAAGCAAAAATTAATGTGGCCCCAATGTCCCCGAATACACAATGCTTCTGCTGCTAGCCGGCTGTTTCACTTACTGCTTTCATTGCCTCCGAATTGCATTTTAATAGGCTAGTTTTTATTCATTCAAAGCCATTAAGGCAAGTTTGACTTCTCGCAGGGGATCTTTTGGCAGTGCGGACCAGTGCCCAGTGACAACACACCGGGCAGTCGGCGAACGGGGGGGGGGAGGTGGAGAGGAAAGAACTGCCAGATGAGTGTGAGTGTGTATGAGTGGAGTTTTATTCTCTCCTTCTCATTTATGACTGTGCATTGAGAGCAGAAGGGATTCTCAAACACAGCAGGGTTGGGCAATATGACAGTATGTTGTTGTGATAAATTACATAACAATATGCTTCCCTTAGTATATCACGGGCATCGTCAGTACTTCTACAACACTGAACTACCAATTGCAAACAGCTTGTAAATGATGGCCAGAGTATTAGAGATGCACTCAAATTTCTTGAAAGAGAAAAAAGAAGTTTAACAAAAAAATACATTAATAAATTAATAAACAAATTATTTGAATGATGAAAATGGGAAACAATAATTAAAGATGCTAGTTTTTTCTTCATGCTCCTGCGACAGTCAGCGTAGAACAGCTCAAACATTTTGAGCAGCAGAAGATCAACAGTGGAAAAAATATTGGCCTAGTGGAACATCATAAGTGATGTCACGCTGAACATGCACAAAGAATATAGGTAGAACTTTGTGAAGATAGCTGGACTCTCCCAGCGACTCCCAGAAACTTGAAAGCCTGGTGATGGTTAGATTTATTTAATATATTTACATTTAATTTGCTTGCTTTCTTTTTATACTCGCTGACTGGTACAACTGCAATTATAATCTCTTGATATTTACGTGTTTGATTCCAGTTGATTTTTGTTCTGTTTGCTGACTTTTGCACTTTGTTTTGCAACTGTAGCCCAGAAACTGAACCGTGAAAGGTGAACATTACACCTCTACTCATTTTCTTATTTTATTAATTTATTTTAGTAGTGGTTTTATTTTGCCTTCCATTCCATTCATTTATTAAAGTTACTTTCCTTAAATATTAAAATAATCATAGTTTCATATCACTGTAAGAAATAAAGTGTTTGAGAAAGAAAGTAACCAGGTAGTCTTTTGAGCGTTTTTTACCCATATATTGAGTTAATTAAAACATTTCAATTTCAAACAAATTTAAATAATAATAACAATAATAATAATAATAATTTTATTTATATAGCACTTTTCATGCTGGTGGCAGCTCAAAGTGCTTTACAGACAGGTGATAAAACATAACCCTTAATGAACAATATATTATACACTATATGGCCAAAAATATGTAAACACCTGTCCTACTTATATACCTATAATTATACAGACACTGGCAATATAATGGGCTGTAATGAAGAGCTCAGTGACTTTAAATCTGGCACTGTCATAGGACGCCAAACTCTTGCCATGCTACATCTGTCCTGGTCAACAGTAAGAGCTATGATTCCAAAACAGGAGTGGTAGCGGCAGACGGCCCGGCGTGTGCTGAAGCGCGTAGCATGTAAAATTCACCAGTCCTCTGTTGCATCAGTCACTACAGAGTTCCAAACCGCTTCTGGAAGAAACACCAGCAGAACTGAGCATCAGGAGCTTCAGGAAATGGGTTTGTGTAGCTGAGCAGTTGCACAAGCCTAAGATCACTATGAGCACCAACCGTCAGCTGGAGTGGTGTAAATCAGCCGCCACTGGACTCAGTGGAAACGTGTTCTCTGGAGTGATGAATCAGCTTCACTATCTGGCAGTCTGATGGATGAGTCAGGGTTCGGTGGATGCCAGGAGAACGCAAACCACTACAAAGCACAAAGCCAACAGCAGAGTTTGGTGGAGGAGGAATAACGGTCTGTGGCTGTTTGTTAGGGTTTGGGCTACAGCCCTTAGTTCCAATGGACTCCAGTGAAGCGTGATGTTAACGCTACAGCACACAAAGACATTTCAGACAATTATATGCTTCCAACTTTGTGGTTTCCTGCTCCAGCATGACTGAGCCCCAGTGCAGCAGAGTCCATAAAGATATGATTTGATGAGTCTGGTGTGGAGGAACTCCAGTGGCCTGCACAGAGCCCAGACTTCAGCCCCACTGAACACCTTTGGGATAAACTAGAATCTCAATTGCAAGCCAGGCCGTCTCGTCCAGTCTTGTGGAAAGCCTTCCCAGAAGAGCAGTAGAGTGGAGGCTGTTACATATGCAAATGAGGGATGAGGGCTCCATATTAATGCCCATGGTTTTGGAATGGGATGTCCAACAAGCTCATATAGGCGTAATGGTCAGGTGTCCACATACGTATGGCTATACAGCGTATTTCCGGAAAACCAATAGGTATGCAATTAAAAAAAAAAAAATATGGATATGCTTAGTTTGGCAAGATACACAAAACATAATGACTCCATAATGACAATCAAATACATCCCATTTAACTCAGAAGAGCTAGGCTAGAAGTCTTCTAGACTCATTTAACCCATTTAAAACTGCTTAAGTATCAAAGTAAAAACTTCAGAATCCAAACACTTACAAGCGCTGTTGAGTCATCAGGCAGCTTTTAAATGTCGAACCCACATCGAAATCTTCCAGTGCGCTTAATTCATCGTAATCCACCCAATATTATCTACATGAGAGGCAGAGTGGACTTCATTTAGAGGGGAAATTAAGCTGGTGGCAGAGAAAAAAGGAGCAGCAACTTTTAGGTGGCTCTTTGAAACATTTCAGCGTAAATTAGTGAGAAAAGAGCGAGCCGGATGCCAGATCAAACGCGGTCTAATCGCGCTTCGCCATGCCCCGGAGACGCCACATGTATAATACGATTTGCACAGTAACTACCTCTCCTATTACAGCCTGTTTGGAGCGCTCCGTGTTAATGGGGTTAGCTAATTTACTGTTTAAAGTTGGCGCAAAAAAGGGGGCCGTCCTTAATAATAAACGCTGCACACTACGCTTGTAATTGAAATAAATGGAAGGGCTTTCAAACCAAGATGCTACTGTTAAAGTAATATTGTTTAAAATATGTTATTATGATAATCCGCTGTAATAATTATATTCTGGAGAGAAGTGCTAATAATGTTTGGGTGAGGATGAAATGCGGTGGAGGATCTGAGTGTGGGGGGATATTAATAGCCATTGAGGCCGTGTTTTATCCAAAAGTGCGGATGTTTTCTCGCTAACTTGTTTAGATGTGACCCCTTCTGAGTGCCGACCATCTGCTCTGAGGCTTGAGAGGATATTGCTGGAGACATTAACTCAGAGTGTGAAATCTTTTAGCTTCAAAGACAACAAAGACTGAGCCACTGAAAACTGTACTTGGAGTCCTGATTTATGAAATGTGAATATCAAATGTAGAGTAATTCACACTATCTGAGCAAACACTGAACACTTTATAACAGGAGTGCTGGATCTTGTGTTTTCTTGGAGCACTGTGGCATTCTGTGTATAAAGAGTAGGAATATACGGATATGGATATCAATATTATTGATGGAAAGCATTTCAAAAGAAAGTATGATTTACAAAACGAAGTGTACTGGATTTTTGTCACCGTAGGTGCACTGAAAAAAAAAAAAACATGTAGAGTGACTTTATACTGTGATGTAGCTGCATTCAGCTGTACACTTACAGTAACAAGCTGTAATTAAAATTAAATATTGCAATTGTCTGTATTTTTACATAACAACTGTGTAAAACTCTGTCGGAACAAAAAAGTTACTTTGCAAGAGAAGTAAAAAACATTAAGTTTCAGTGTAAGTTAATGTAACAAGGTTTTATTCTGACAGCAACTATGTACATGTATGTGTTTATTTACATGTTTATTTATAACAAACCTCAGTGGCCCAGTATTTACACAATCAAATAAAAAACTGAAATCCAGTATAAAATTTTAAAGTTTTTAAAAGACCAAAATACATTTTTTAGCTAAAATGTTTGCACCTTTTTAACTCCCAGTTGCTGTCATATCCCAGAACACTGTGCGGTACAACTCAGTGTCAACCTTACAGTAATTTTTTGTGTGATTACAAAACCTTAAGATTCTTGATTTCACAGTAAAATGAAAAAATAGTGTTATATAGTAATAATTAACTGGGTGAACAAGCAAGTCAACATTAATAAGTGTTTAAATGGCACCGTTTCTATTCTGGCAGCTGTGCATAACTGTTTGATATGAAGAAAGCTGCAGGAGTCTGTTTTATCTCGGCCGTCTTTGTGGAGAGGTGTGAACTGTTTTCACAGCAGGGGGCTCTCACCCCCCCTTTCACCCCTCATTGCTCACTAGCAGCTCGACATAGATTCACACACAGAGGACCAACAGTGTCCTAATTAATCTGATAACAAAGATACAGTTTGATTAAATGAATTAAAATATCGGAGCTGATTTCCATCCTGTGCCTTGTTGTGTCCACTATGAATACCAAAAATGTTTTCATCATTAAAAGAAGCTCATACTTCAATTTATAGACAGATAAAAACTCTGAAGATGAATCATAAGTGCTGGTGATCTATACCACAATATTGCTATTGCCAAAAAATCAGAAAACAACAAAACATTTAAGTTCAAACTTACTGCACATGAAAACTATTTCCTTTCTGTAAATGCGATTTGTGTGGTTACCACTCACAATACTGTGGCTTCCCTTTGGTGCTATAATTAAGAGAATAAATCAGACATTCTATTTGAGTAACAGTACAGAGGAGGAAAGGGTTGATTAACCTTACGGAGGCAAATTTAAATATCATCTGATTCCCTGATACTGTGATATATATATAGATAAGATTGTGATACTGAATTTTATCATCACTGTCTGGATTTATGGGTCATGGTTTGTTTTGCATACACATTTATGCTTACCTAACCTGAACCTCCAGTGTTCTGTACGTGGTGCTGTGGTGTTAGAGATGTTATTTAATTGAATGAGTTTAAAAAGAACTTAAACATCAAACACTAGTGATTATACATGTCAGTGCATGAGCCAATGCAAAGGACCATCAACTGTGATTTAAATGCTGGACTGTATCTGCACATCAACATGTGCTCCAACTTAAAAGCAAGCAGTCTATGGCACAGTTACATCACTTGCTTTGTCAAATGTCGGTATCTTTCCCTCAGTTTAAAAAAGCTTTGTCTTAACGCTGCACAGACGCATGTATGTGTGCATGTTTCCCTGCGTGTGTGTGACTTACGGGTGGTCGATGAGGCGAGTCCTCCACTCCTGCCGCCGGAGCTCCTCTCTGGCCTCCTCCAGGGCTGTGATGGATGTGGCCACGCGCAGGCTGGGCTCCAGGGGCCGGTAGCGCTGCTGCTGCACCTCCACAGCTGGCCGGAAGGGCCCCTGACAGGTACGGGGAGGGATAAGGTAAATGTTTTATTGCCCACGCCCGCCCGCCTCGTTATTGATGAGGCCCTCGGGCAGCCAACTGGCCCCCCGGCTCCCGCAAACTCCACTGCTGTTTTGGCTCGGATGCTAAAGCTCAGCGGCAACAACGCTGATGGCACGACGGCGATAAGCGTGACGGCAGCCTGATATGAGGCAGGGTGCTGAAAGGCTACGGTGGAGACTTTTAGGACATGTCTTGGTGTCTAATGGAAAAAACAAAGCTGCAAATCCACCACAGCACTGACTGAATTTTGACCTTTAGTTAGTTAGTAATCATAAAAACATGGTGTGGTTTGATATTCATAATCTGATGCTGCACTTAGATTCTTTACATGGACCACATTTGACTTCATGTCATATCGTACTCTGTAGCGCAAGATTTCATTATATTCTATAGTGCAATATCAGTTTGACAGCATGCACTGCACAAATACATCAAACAACTATTAGCAATCCTCCCAAGGTGACAAAGAAATGCACTGATCTAGAGGCTAATAAGAACAGAGATAAATATTTGGTTTCACCACTCTGGGGGGAGATCAGGGGGTTAAAAACCATTTCAAACAGCCAGGCCTCATGTCTCCACCCCAAAACTTTCAGAAATTCCTCCCATCTTCAAAATACATCATCTGAGGGTTTTTTCTAGTCTTTGAATCGAAAAATCTCGACAGTGGCACCACTGTAGGAGGTGAATAGGCACGTTTACAATGTGTAACAGTGGTAATCGATGTTATTTTGGCCGGGTGCTTCTTAACATTGTGAATACAGTTTTCTTTGTGGAAAGAGAAACATTTACTGCCACTTTCTCATTTACTGACATTGAAACAAACAAGTTAAAAGTGCAGACTTGAACCTGTGGATACGATGCAAATCAAATGTGAATGTAATTAACTGAGTAAATCACTATGAAATTCATGATGTAGATATGAAAATACAGTTGAAAAGTGGTGCAAAAACAGGACTGCTAAAGGTTAAAAAAGTAAAGTCTGATCCAAAGCTTCATCTCGTCTTATTTCAGTGAACACATTGCATCAGTTTAGAATTTGAGGTTCAGTGCAGTTTCGAGATGTTGAGGGTCAAAGATTTCAAAATAGTAAAACTCGTATGTGGTACAATCACCTTTATACCCTAAAACAAAGTAACTGCCTTGAGATGGTTTTGACCACTGAACATATTAAAATCATACGATAGTCTTTTCTCAAAAGAACCAAAGGTTGAACCTTTTAAAAGTTCCCTTTAACTCTAGAATTATAAGGTTTTATCTCGCTGCTGTCTCACTCTCTCTGTCCTATTTGTGTGCACTGTTGTTGTTGTTGTTTATCTTTCTCTTGGCTGTTTCACTGCCACTGTCTCACTGCCACTGTCTCACTGCCACTGTCTCACTGCGGTGGTGTTTCTGAAATTAAATGTTTATAATGAACTTCTGCCACATATTTTAGCTTGATAGCTTTTCAGAGTAGTTTTGCTAATTAAGCTGGATATTAGTTCGCTAGCTGGAAGGAAAGTTTAGCTACTTTTAACATTTAATTTTTAAGCAACTAAGAACTTCCAAAGACTTCCATATTAGCTGATCAATGACTGATCCTTGCATTCAGCCTTTGGTTATATAGTTCTCTGTTTTGTAGAGATGATAATTTCACTAGCTGGCTACCAATTTGACTAGCAAACATTAATAACCGCTAGCTGAATACTTGCTACTACATTGGATAAATAATGTTTTTTGCAGTAGTTGATCAGTTTTGCTACCCTTTCATCTTACATTTCGCTACTATGACTTCTAGTCATGCACTGATACCTTTTTTTGCAGATCAAGTATGAGTACGATTCTCAGTTCTCCCCGATACGACACCGTAATGAATTACCTACTTAGAATGAAGTAGTTGTTAGAGTAAACTGTGCAATGAACCTTAATGGTTAAATCATTAAAATCTAGCTGATCTAAACGATGTGCCTTAGCTAGCTATGCTAACCTAAATCAGTTACCTTGGACTGAGTAGCGCTGCAGTAGAGAAGAGCGGGTTTTGTTCGACCTCAGAAAAGCACTTCTGTACCGCTGTAAGTAAAGTATGTTTCATGGTTTTGTTCTCTTCATATCTCTCTTTTAAGAGAGCAGCACAGTGACAGCAGGAAACACATTCGAGGCTAATCCGAGGAGCTCACGTTTTGTGTTGTTGAAGTATTTTGGCTGTTAAATTTAGTTAAATGTCTTCTCAAGCCAGACTTGCACTCTGTACGAAAACGCTTGGTCCATGCTACATGAAACACAGCGTCTACAGACGGCTCTGACTACAGACAATTTCAAATATAGCTGTTACTGAGCTACAGCAGTGCTGCTAACTCCTAAAACCAGGCAGTGTTGTACAGTACAGTCTCTCTATAGCCTGTTTTACAAAGACAGTTTTAAAAAATCAATGTTTTAATGTTTGTATCTCACAATTCTATTCAGTCAAACAGAGTATATTCAGCGTATGTGGACTTTGGTAGCAAATGTCGACTTTTTCACCTCTGTTTTGTTAGCCTACGAGTCTCCAGTTGTTTTGGGGAAGCGGTTTTAACTGCACTTGTGTGTTTAAAAACAGCCTAAAATGGCACAGTCCACTCCTGTCGGGAACTTGCCAGGGCTAAATGTTTAAAGTGACCAGTGACTTTGTGTTTAACCACCGCAAGGTCAGTAACACTTCTCTGTGTGAGCAGACCCTCGTTCACTGCCAGCTTGAGTCATTTGTTCATTAGCGCAGTGTATACTTGGGTTGCACTGCATGGTATCAGCTGGTATTGGATGTTGATATCAGCGCATTTTATGAGGTCAAGTACGAGTAAATGAGCACGGTATCAAGCTGATATGCGATACCAGTATCGGTATCAACACATGCCTAATGATTTCTTACTAAACTGTTTAAAAATACTAAAGTCCCAGTTAACTGGGCTTCATAGCTAAGCTCACTGCTGAGCCTGATTAGTTATCCCATATTCATCAACTGCACTGATTGGGCTATAACACCTTATAATGGCAACTTTCAAGAAGTACCTTATATTTAAAAAATAAACAAATAAATAATCGGCACTAAGTGATGAACTACAAGCACGTGACTCAATTTTGGCTAATAGAACCTCATCATTCTGGGCCCATTATATGTTGTATCATATACATAGGCAGGTAGCTGAGTGCACAGGTGTGCTATGAAATGACATGAAGGACTCAATAGCAGATGGTCAGCAATCTTGCTTTGCTCAGAGATAGAAAGCTGCTCTAGAGTCCAGATCCCTGCTGGCCAACAGCACCTTGTAGTGCAGCTCTATGCATGTAGAAGAAATGTTGCTCTTTGTTTCTTAATGTGACCTTCAGACATTGTTGTTTTTAATTCATGCTGGACCAAACGCTCCCTGCCCTTGATACTATCGAGCCCAGATCAGCACCCGGCGCTGACCAATCCCCTCGCTTCCCCAAATGGCACACATAATCAATCTATCACTCCCCGATGCTTATCACTGGGGGGGTGCAAAGAGAGAGAGAGGGGTTTGTTCCAGGGTCTTTGTAAGGGTAAAATGTAGATAAATAATGCATCTTCATCTATTGCACATTGTCTGGAAGGGGTGGCTTTTTTTTCTTTTAATAATGACTTCCCACTAAACGGGCCCAGCTGGAGCCAGAGCCTGCCCAGGGTGAAGAACTCAGGCTCTAATAAAAAGAAATGACTCACGCCTCATTTCTGCTCACTTATGTTTTACATTAATAGAAACCAATAATAGGAACCAGTTACCATAAAAGTCATGGACCGTAAATAACACAAATGGCAAATACGTATCATCAAATTCTCTCTTGCAGCTGGACAAGATGACATGCCAGATTTGGAAGTACTTAAAGAAATTCTTTATCGGGAGCCCTTTAAATGCGTCTGTATTCCCTTGCCGAGAGCCCCTTGATGGGATTCACTGAATAAAAAGCGCCCGGTTGACAGGCGTGCTTATCACCGGTTATCTGTCTGTCTAAATGCTTTGGTGCTATCCAGGGGAGAGGGGAGGCGTGCTTAATGACGTTATTCTTCTTTACGGCGAGTTTTCAAAAACAATTTCATACGAGCTGTAAATCTCAGCTTTAATTGTCGTTATCTCAGAATCTCCTTTGATAATTGTCATTAAACTCTGCCATCTATCTGCATTTGTTTTATTAGCGGAGTTGCGGGAGGGACTTGGCAAACAGAGTGCTTACTCGCACACATTTGAATACAAAGTGTTGGAAGCTGACGCAAGAGCGGACGAGTTTTACAAAGAACAATAACTCAACTAGTGTGGGGCTTTTGAACTTTTCATTAAAATTAAAAGAAATAAAAAAACCCAGCTAATATATGGTGTGTGTGCACTGCTGTGAGTCACCCTGTAAAGCCTGAAACAGTCATTTAAGTCAATGGTGTCAGACCGCATCAGTCTTTACCTATTAACATCATGAACACAGGTTCATAAAGAAGATCCAGCTCGATGTTTACATCTCAAACGCAAAATCAACATTATACTGATGAAGATAACAGTAGTAGATAATTCACTCACATCCTCCAAAAACACGTCCTTCACCAAGATTTCACTTTGAGTTCTCTTTGTCACTCTTTCAACTCGCAATCATCAGATTCAACCACTCAGGAAAGAGTCTGAAGCACAACCGATGTTACAAACGTTCTTCCACACATTGAGTGCAATTACACATTTCCACCAGAGAGGTCTCCAAATCCCCAAATCTTACGTAGTGTTTAAAGAAATATGCCTAAAATGCTAAAAAGGGCTAGTTAGCATTGGGCAAAAGACGTCATGCTAACCGGACCCACTAGCTTTCAGTCTTTAGCTCAGTCTGAAACTGCCCTACATTAAATAGTGCACTATTATGGGGTTCTGCCATTTTGTAGTGTTGTCACAGTGGAAAACATAGTACATAAGGTTCAGTACACTCAAACAATCCCAGAATGCACTGCAGTAAGCAGTGTACAACCAACGTACCTTAGGGGATAGGGGTTACCCATAATGCACTGCAGTGTTTGTTTTGGAGATTCACACACAACTTCTCTGAGTAGGATTAGCTACAATGGCAGCGTCTCCACAGCCCTGTTACAGATGTAGTTATGCTCTTCTACTGTGCAGCCAAACTGGTGGTTATACTGGACTGGTGGCCTGTCGGCCTTACAGTGTTAATGTGATGGAATCTGTTGTCGTACAGTACTGAGCAAACCTGTATAACGTAGTTAAGCAGTAGAACACAGAGGGAGTGTGTTATCACGAAATAACATCACGGCTGTGATTTGGTCGCCGTAGATCATCACAGCCGTGATGTTATTGTCGATAACACACTCCTCGAGTGTTCTATTGCTTTAATACAACAGTTAAATAAATAAAGTAATAAATTAATAAACTGGGCCGTGAACGCGGCGTTTAATATGTTTTAATGTTCGCAGTTCCTTCGCCAAATTATAGTTCCTTAACGAGCAGCTTGTTGCTACGTCAGAGTAACGAGCTCCGCCCACTCGCTGCACAGCCGGCAGTTCGTTCTCCAGCTCCTTACACTAAATTCCCAAACTGTCGTCACCACTGAGCAGCTTTTCAGTCGGCAGCTGTGACAGAAGAACAGCTAAACAACCTGGAATCAGCCAGAAATGAACCCAACACCATTCGCCAAACGTGCAGTCTGATCTTCAGAGTCTGACCAAATCGGCTGTCGGTCAAATGTGATCTTTAAAGTGTCCGTTTTCTGTTTGTGGCAAAGTAAGAAGTAAAAACGTTCAAATGTCTTGAGCGTCTCCTACAGCGGTCAAAGTCGTTGCTTAGCAACAGCGTCTCAGCGGAGTGATACAGTGTTTGTGAAAAACCTGTGATGTTATGGTGAAACAACAGCACAGTTAGAACAACTCTCAACCAATCAGCTCGCGTGGACGGAACTCACTGTTGTATAATGTCCATTATCGTTTACTAACATCGCGAATTCTGCTTCCTGTCATAGTGTTTTACATGGTGATCCAGCTTTTTGAATGTAGGGTACAGTGATTAGGGGCCATTTCGGACAGGGCATTTATTGCACATGGGTATTTTTGGACGAGGCTCCCTTTTAAACTTACTTGTCTTTTGAATTGGATGAGGAAATGCAGCAAATGTAAATAAGAGAGGTTTATAGAGCAACTGACAACACACAGATGAAATCAGCATCTCATTGCAAACAAGCCATGAGAAAAGGGGTTTAAACACTGAAACTTCATCAGTAGTACTAAGGATGGGGGTTCAAATATTTTTTTAAAAAAAGTCCTACAAATTCAAATATTAAATTCAGCTGAAGTGCCTATTTGGCACAAGTTCAATAATTACATCACAAATATGTCATGAGCTTAGCTTTCTTCTGTTAAGCTGCAAAGCTACACAAATTTGCTTATTTCTTTGGCTGATAATTTATCATCAACATAAGATCTTTCTACAGGCCTTTTGTAGTAAACTGAGCCACTCTACCTGCGGGGTGTTGTGTATGGGTGGTAGTCGCTCTTTGTTGTGCTGGTAGCTAGAGGGCTGTTGGTTCATAGGCCAGGATTCTTTGGGAGCAGACATGGTCCGAACTGGTTTAACTCTTCTTAACCTCAGCTCCATCTCATCGGGCTCTGGGCGGAACGGCGAGTTGAACACACCTGGGCACTGGAAAGAACACACAGTATCGCAAAATGAGAAAACATACTCACTGTCTCTGATCCACACTTCACGCATGATGCTAAACAGCTGAGAGACGTAGACTAATACTTTCACTTAGTCCTCTTAGATCTGTAAGCAGAAAACATATTTAACAGAACGTTACAGAAGCCTTAGCCTTTATTACAGCTTCCACTCTTTCTGAGAGACTTGTGATCCAAGTCATCCCAAACACATTCAGTGATGTTGAGGTCTGGACTCTGGGGTGGCCAGTCCATTGTTCTGGGATCACCTTCTGGGATTTGCAGTTTTTCTTATTTTTTTGTCCATTCTTTTTCTCAATAACAGCTTCTTGACAGCTACACATCCTTTCAGACCCACAGTGTTGACCTGCTTTCTCACAGTGGAAGGACGGACAGAAATACCAGTGTTTTTTCTTCAGATCTGAAGCAAACTGTAGCTTGATGTTTCTCAAAGATGAAAGCTTTAAGTGCTGTTAATCTGATGGTGGGAGTTTTAGTGGTGTACCAGGTATTGCACGGTTGTTAGGAGTCCCGTTTTTGTATCTTTTAATGATTTTTTGAACTCCAGTTTTGGGAATTCCTTGTTTTTTTTTTTTACTTATTTTCCTTTTCCTTATAAGTGGATTATCTCATATCTAAAAATGAAATTAAACAGACTGAACAGATAAGTGGTCTGTGACAGTACTGTGTATTTGAATGTTATTTGTTTTTATGTATTCTGAATAGACTTTTTACAGGAAACCTTGTGTAAATTAGGGAATATAAAGTAAATATGAAGACAAACACTAAGAGAACACTCCATGACATCCTCACTACACGGCCATCGAAACCGGAGATCATCAACTCACATCTTTCCTGTTCTCTCCAGGCTCTTCCTCAACAGCACCCTCTCCATCTTGCCTTTCTCATCTTGCTATCGGACCACCTCCCGTCGCGCCCCTTGTTGCAGGTACTCGAGCAGAACCTGCTCTAAAAACACACGCGGTCTTGCCGAAAAATGAACCTGCTTTTAATCACTCAACCTCGGCGAAACAATTACACCTGTCACCTCCCGTGAGCGGACAGATATCTATCACTTCAGCACCTGTCAAGTCTTGAAGTTAGCATGAACGCTTTCTAGCGTGCTACTCCTTCCTGGAGCAAGTGAACTGCTGGAAAGTTCGGCCTTGTTCGAATCGGACCGGCAGGAATGAGCAGTTGTAATCACAGACGTCCGGACTCTCCTGATGTTTAACGGGAGAAAGAATTGTTGGAGCGCTGCCGCTAATCATGCTAATATGTTAAACTGCTAATGAGGCTTCATTGAGGCTTTTTTCTTCATGCCGCTGTGGCTTGAGGTGCAGCGTGATGGGGGGTAGACTGCAAACTCCCAACTTGCCTCAGACTTACAGGAAAAGAGCAATGATGTTGACCCTCGTACCGAGGAGCTACATCTATGTCAGCACAGCCACTTTTGTCCGGCAGAATTTTCTCTGGTTAACGATGAACCGTGGGAGACCCATCCATTTCCTTGAGACAAGGTCAGACTATGGGAACAGAAGTTCCCTAGCACACACACAGTGGAAAAGAACGAGCGAGCAAAAGAGAGAGAGAGAGAGAGAGAGAGAGAGAGGGAGAGAGAGAGAGAGAGAGAGAGAGAGAGAGAGAGGGAGAGAGAGAGGGAGAGAGAGAGAGAGAGAGAGCGCATCTACTGAAGACAGTTTTGCCTCTCCCGCTCTGAGCAGTGGGTCTGATGCCTGGATTTGAGGGTGCGCAGTTTAAACCCTTGACCTTTTGCGGAGCCGTTATCTGTGCTGAATAATGCGCAGGTCCATATGTGAGCTTTGCGCACATTTGTTTACGAAGGCCTTTTTCAGGACGAGCACTTACCGTCATCACTTCATCCTTTTACAGCACAAACATACACAGCTACAGTTGCACACAAACGTTTGAACATCCATGGTCAAATAGATAGATAGATAGATAGATAGATAGATAGATAGAAAGGTAGAAAGATAGAACTTCATTATCATTGCTCAGTATAAGTACAAGGCAACGAAATGTAAATATCACCTACCAGAAGTGCAAAAAGTAGCAACAGTGGAAAACAGACAAAAAGGTGCAATAACAGGCATAAATATGACGTATCTACGAAATACATAACTATATGAACAATATTAGCACAATTATAAATATCTATAAATGATATATACATGTATATATACACACATAATACTATAAATATATTTTTTGTACCTAAGGTATGTTACGTACCGTTAGAGTAAGCAGTTATGTGTTGTATTCTATATACAGTGAACAGTCTGTTGTTTGGAAATAACATGTTTTGTTGATTTTCTAAGTGAAAATAAGTGAACACATCCTCCACAGGGAGCCCACTTAAGTATGGCATTTTTTACATATTTTACTGCACAATTTCTATTTTTTGCTGAGTTTTGCATATTGGAAATAAAATAAAACAAAGTCTAAAATGTGCCAAAACTTTTGCACTGATCACATTTTATGTTTTATTTTTTTTCAAATATCAAGTTCAGCAAATAAGCACCGGTTAGGTATTAAATGTGTTCTCTGTAAAGGACGTGCACTGATGTCCACTGAGAAAACCAACAAAACAATATTGATTGTTTCTCACTCATATTTCACTGATACAAGTTACACTTCATTAAAGATTATAATGCCCTTATAAAACCATTTGAAGAGTCCATTATTATGCCCTTAAATTCAAAAGCTGGTAACTAACTTATCAAACCAATATGGTGCAGATTAACTCGACGCCCTTTAATACCACATGAAGCTGTTTTTATTTTTATCTATATCAACAGATATCAATTGTTTATTACATCTAAGACATTCACTTCAGCATGAATTAAACTGTACTAATTATGAAACTGTAGCTTTTAGTCAATACCTAACAAGTTAGATTATGTCTCATCAGATATTGTGATGCACCAGCTGGATGACTTTATATCAATAAATGATGTGTACAAGATTATGATATATAATAAATAAAAGTGCTTGGAAAAATGCTTAATTCAGTCTAGAGAATTCTTGATAAAGTAGCAATGAGCAGCTAATTAATTAGCAGCTACTGGCTTGTTAAGGATTCAGAAGGGCATTACAAGGGCATTAAATACAGTGTTACCAAATTTTGTCATATGTGTGGATTTTAAATGTTAATGGATTCTGCAGCTGTGTCTGTAAGTATAAGGTGAGATATTTTATTATAATATGAATTTATGTCTTGTTTTGCAGATGCAATAAGAAACAGTTGGTGCACGCTCATACCTGTAGAGAATATAAATTGGGTGTTAATGGTAATTATTACATAGCTGTAGTTATTGACAATGTAATTATTTCTGAAATTGCTCCTTAAATAGTATCACACCACGACAGCATCTCTCGATATGGGTTAAAGCATTCAGTGGCCGTATAAACGCTATAACCATTGATGTCATACCAGCCATCCTAAGTGCCCCCCACTCCCCACCCTCCACACATTCTGATCCACTATCATGCTGCTCCCACACATCTGTTCTCCATTAGCCATTAGCCGCTACGTATTATTTCTTGATTTCCGCCCACCGACTGCAGACAGCTGGCAACGGTGTCCTCTTGCCCTGGCCACTGTGGCACGGCTGGCACACAACGCGCTGCGACCCAGGCAATAGCGCGGCCATGGGCAGCGGCGGCGGCAACAGAAACCGGGTGAGGGCCCGGAAAGGCGTAATGACCAGAAAGGCATGAAGGAGACCCCTGCAAAATGAAATATCTGCCTGCCCACAACTGCTGCTGAATCAACAGCGACCAATGCACTCCATCATAATTATCAAGACACGTCATTGCCAGAGGGACTTCTGAGGAAAAATTATATATATGTGTGCCTGTTAACACCGCCTGTCTCCTTACTGCTGCAGTGCTTTGCTGAGTGGGGTAGGTATGGACCATTTCACTGGATCAGTTCAAACTGTGGTCAGTAAAAAAGAAAAACACATTTAAAAAACATGGTAGATATTTAAAAAGATTATGTTATGATCTATTTAAATTACTAAATAGTAATAAGATAAATACATACAAAGTCATCATTTATTGGGTACTTTCAACTTAAAATAACACAAAATTATTTTGAGTTTGGTTTTTCACGTTTTTCTTTGTTCTTTTTTATTTATTTATTTATTTTTTGGGTTTTTTTTTTGTTTTTTTTGCTACATCCCTGCATTTCAGAGCAGGAAGTGAGACGGCATCCCTATCTCTCATGTCCACATGGTGAGCAGTCAGATCTCATTGTTTCAAAGTAAATGTGTCCCAAAATCTGAAAATCAGTGTGGAACATAAACCCCTTACATGGCCAGGGCTCAGTGACAGGCCCACAGTTTATTACACACACTGTAACCTAAGAATAGCTCAGCCAGTTTGCATTAAAGTCCCTGTAGTTACTGAATAATGATTTTTAGTAAGTAATAAGCCTCGAATTTTAAAGGGTCCAAAACTGTCCATACCGACATTTTTTTTCTGCAAACACATATTTTCTCCAATTAGGTTAACTTACTGATAAATAGTATAGTATTCTATAGAACGATCAATATATCGCTGCTGTCGGAAGAAAACCTCATATCTCCATTTTTGTCGCTTTTCAATTTATGTCATAATTTGAAAATGCCTGTTACCCTTTATATTGTGTGCAAATTTCATGATGAATAGACCAAAAGAAACGGCCCAAAATTACTTAGAAAAAAGTCTGGTTCCATTGACTTACATTAAAAGTAATGTAGGTTTTTTCCTTCTCCTGTAAAGTTACCGTTTTGGAGATACAAGGTTTTCTTCCGACAACAGCGATATAACTGTTATGATACGTATTTAGTATCTTTGTTACTGTTATGTCATCACACTTTTAGCTGGAAACCATAAAACCCAGCATGTGTTGGCTGCACGATAAACCGTATTTTATTATTATTGAATAAATGAGTTTCCACAATAAATGCATCACTAAAGGCTGCAATGACAGAATGTATCAAATTACCTGGCACCTAGTCGGATTGGTGGGAAGGTGGCATTAGAAGCCAAACAAGTGCTTCCCTTCTCAGTGGGCTTGAACTCTGCTTTTCCACAGGGGGAGCAAATAACTTTAGGCTAAACAGCGAGTAAAACAAACGTGCATAGCTACTCTGCAAGAAACTACTCATACTCCTTAAAACATGGAGCCTGTTCTCTCTCTCAATGACTGTTTGGTGTTGTTTATGTGTTCTGTTTTTATTTTGTTATTTTCTTTCTGATTTTCTTTAAAGTGCAGAGTGAACCAACAACCGATTACATGGCTAACAGATGTCTAACTGACAGGAGAGCTTTGTCTCTAGTGTAGGGGTTTACAGAGAGTCTACTGTCCTTAATATATGCACAACCACCTACTGTTACAACAAACCTGCATCATCATAAAGAGATTTCTAAGAAATTATATATGTATAATTAATTGTAAATATATTTATTAGTGTTTGTATCCTGATTGCAAACACAAACAGAAAAGAATCAGGGAATCCAGCCTGTTTTTGGACTGAAGCACCTCATGGAACCCACTCACGTTTCACAGGCTCCACATTCTCCAAAAAGAGGAGTCAAATAGCTTTTATTCCACGACAGACAATAACGATATTATTGTTAATATTGTTACTCATAACTTTGTACCATGTTACCTCCAACTCTGTTAATTAATAATGATTGCAATAAACTTTGATATGTCATATTGTTATTATAAAGATAGATGAAAATATTGTTGCCCATTTTTAGGCTTTTTTGTTGTTTGAACACAAGAATTAAATCAGCTTCTGGCTGATTACAACCATCAATCATGAATGTACAAATGCTTATTCCTCATTACAGTATAACTCATCATCCCCAGCACAGCAAACACTTTATTCCTTACTCAAAGCTCTCAGAGCTTCATTCCTTTGTAGTGAATTGACAACTTCCTGTGTGTGTGTGTGTGTGTGTGTGTGTGTGTGTGTGTGTGTGTGTGTGTGAGAGTGTGTGTGTGTGTGTGTGTGTGTATGAGGGGTGCTGACCTGTTTGGTGCTGAGGAGGAAGTGGAGTCGTTGAGCTCGGACGTATTTCTCCTGTTCTTCTCTCTCCATCGCGACACGCTCTCTCTCCTTTCTCTGGTGCTCAGCCAGCTCCTCTAACTCTCTCCTGAGAAAACACAAACACACACTCTGTTCCTCACACACCTCCAAAAAGCCTCTCCTCAAAATGGTGATGTGGCAAATACAACAGTTCAGGCTGATCTATATATATATATATATATATATATATATATATATATATATATATATATATATATATATATATATATATACACAATTTCTATTGGCCCATTCATCATCATATTTTAGCACACTGTAAAGAGCAACTCGTACATTCACACACACACACACACACACACACACACACACACACATATATATATATATATATATATATATATATATACACACACACACACACACATCTATGACAAACGTGTTAATACAAGGTTTTGTCCCATGTAACTTGGTGTATTTTGTGTATTTGTGTTCTGTGGTGATATAAAATAGTGACACCTTGTTTGAATGAACATTTATTAGGTGTTTGTTAACCTTTTTTCACAGTAGCCATAAATGTCCGCCTGTTTGGATGTCCCTCAGCTGAACTTTTTTTCTTCAATAACATTTTGGTGGAAATGATTTAAAATTCTAAAAGGTTATGAAACATTTACTAAAGAGTCTTTACTGTGTTTAAATGCTATTGTCTACTTGCCTTTCACTCCTCACCGCTCAGTAGCAGCTCAAAATTCAGTATGAAATTACAGTAAATCTTTATTATTTAATCTGTTTAGGCAACCAAAATACCCTGCATAGATATTGAATATGTGATGCAAACTGACTTACTGAAAACTTTCCTAGCCTCTCATTTGTGACGATTAAACTCCACTTCAGAATGTGGGAGTATTAGTGACTTATTAAAGTCTTATTAGCTGCAATACCTTAAACTCCAGATGTTACTTAAACACTACTGACAACCCATAAGAAAATAAATACAATGAATTAGATGATAATTCATGCTCAGTAATGTGCAGAAAAAGATCGTAACAAAGTGGTTATTGTGCATTATTACACTTTATAATGCAATGTTACTGATTTTCATATCACAGATCTCAAACTGTGTTGTAATTAAGCTTAGTGAATAATTAATAACTCATTTAGAAGTGTGTAATTTGGCTTTACTGAACAAGAACAAAAGCCCCAAAATGTGTTTAATATCAAATGAATGTGATTCAAGACGTATCTAGACCTCGGCAAATGACTGTTCACTCACATATAATAAAAGAGCTTTTTTTAAAATCAGCTACTCTTCTTTATCTACAACACTGCTTTATTTACATAATTCCATTATTTTACACAGGACGTTTTCACTTCAATACAATTTCCAAACAAAACAAGGAGAAATATATTGATATTAATGTTTAATTTAGGGAATGTTAAGGAAATCTCACCTGTTCTGCACAAACGCAGAAGAGGAACTCATTCGATACATACAATAACACATGCAGTCGAGCTGTTTCTGCAGTTTGTCCACAAGCGAGTTCAATGAAAGAGGGAGCGCTCCCTCATCAGCCTCCTCCCCAAGCTCACACTTTTCAATTACAACAGCACAAAAGACTGTATTAATGTTCCCTTTTACGTGCGGTTACAGAACTGGCTATATTGACATTTAAAAATCACCACTTTTGCAGAGGTGCACCCAACCACCCCCTTCCTCAGCACAAGATTAAATTAGGAAATGAAATATGTAGACGAGCATGGCCTGGGGTCTGCCACCGGCCTGCGGGAAACAGCGTAAAGGAGGCTTCGTCTAACAGACAGCTTTACTGGCAAAATTAGCCATTTTGGATGAAGTGTTTCTCTAATAATGACATTCTTCACAATAATTAATTATAATAATGTCATGATTATATGTCAAAATCATGTCATTCTATTAGCAATATAATGTTACCCTTTGGAAATACTAATTAATGACTTAATTACATATTTAATTATATAGTGAGTTATGTAACTAATTACTTTATCTTATCTAATTACTTATCTAAAAAGTTTGAATTGCCATTTAAAAGTTTGAATCAATCATGTCAGCAATCGTAGAGCACTGGGAAAGAGGATTTATTAAAAATCCAGCTGTAAAAAACCTGTAAATAGATATCTACAATATTTTATTATTCATTTAATAAGTTGTAACTGCAATATTTTAAATATCGATTGAGACCAATTTAAAATGCTAATTTCAAAAGCTTATAATATTTAAATCTACATTGTACAAATTATTATTGTATACAGAAGGTCGCAAATATTAGCACAACAATTGATTCCAAACTTTTGAACAGTTCTCTACACTCACATTCAATTAACATTCTGTATCGAAAGCTTCAGCTCTGCACTTTGTTTTGATATCAATGACAAAAATATCGGATCACTATGGAATTATGAGGATCCGAATGAGGACCACATTATGAGAATGAGGACCATAGGTAGAAATTAAGACTACAACAGAATTATGAGGACCACAAAGGAAATCTGAGGACCACTATGGAATTATGGGGACCACAATGGGAATACGAGGACCACAGTGGACATAAGCGTTGGGGCTTTACTGTGTGCTACTTCTCTGTGGTTTTAATGTGTGTTATATGTATTTTATTTGTGACATTTTAATCAAAACAAGATTGTACGCATAACAATAACTGCAACAAATTTAATAATCATACATCTGCACTACTTACAAACACAAGCTTGACATTTATTAAACGTTCAGAAGCCCAATAAGCTTATAAAGTTCAATAAACAATGATTTAAGAATAAATGAATCAATACTGAATTACACCGTGCGTTTGCTGTCCCTGCTGATAACTGAGACCTATAAGAGTTAATAATAAAGTTGTGGTCTTTTTGCTGTGGTGGTCTGAAGCTGTATGGTCTCGGTCCAGTTGCAGTTTCATTTTTTGTGCTTGGTGCTACACTCTCTATGACCTTTGCTGACCTATATCTCACACTTATTATTAATTGCACTGTAGTGGACAAAAGCCAAACAGATTTGTAACCGTGGAAGGGGATCTCGATCTGTGTCTGAGAGAGAGGATGGGGAACATATAAACCTCATTAGTGCTGATGGACCAGCGGGGAGACATGGGAGCAGCTAACACAGATGACCTTTGTGTGTCCTTAACACCACAAACACACACACACACACACACACACACACACACACACACACACACACTCGCTGCACTAACTCCACTGACGGACAGGTACTCTGCAGCTTTCCGTAGCTAATGGCTGTGTTTGATAGGTCACTTATGGTGTTCCAAACTTTGAAGCGGTAATGTTGAGACATATAAAAGAATAAGCTTTAATAACTTTAAAGACACATACAATAACAAACTGTTTCTACTGCAGTTTGTCCACAAGCTTGAATACTGTGAATCTGTAAATCTCCACAGAATGCAGACAACACCAGAGAGGTGTACGTTTAGATGCAGGTGAACAGAGGGGTGGAGTCAGGTAACATAGGGGTTTGCCTCTTGCTGACCCCTAGAAGCTGATAACATTAGCATGGTAAATGTGATATTTAAGGGCCTGTTCCTACAAAAAACATATTGGATTTGATTCATTTTCTCCCTGATATGCACTTAAATCATTTGTGTGGTTTTATGTACCAAAATAGGTCATAATTAATTTTTACATGACCACTGTCCAGCCTCTCCTTATGCCTTAGAACTAAACAGGCTGATTTTGTTACTGTGCCAGGTATATAAGATAAATGAGCTCTGCTCTGATTGGCTGACTCAGAGCTGAAATGCTCCTTATAACTTCAGTATGAATGGGTGGGGCTCGTGACATCACAGAAGCAAAACGGGCTGTTTTTGCAGCTGGTTTTCATAAATGGACTGTTTGGACTGAGCAGTGAATACATTCCATTTCAACTTATCATGATCTGAACTTTTGCTTTATGGAGGAAATTATTATTCTAAGTAGTTCAGAGTGGTTTGAGGTGAAATGGCTCATTGTAGAGAAACTTTCTTTACAGCCCAAATTCTTTACAGTGGTGGTGATAGGAACCAGTTATTACCATGACTACAACACAAATATAGCCATTTTACTTACTGTCCAAAACAACCAGTGAACCTACACGAGTCTTCTGAGGTTTATTTCTAATGTTGATGATGGTAAAATAGAGTTAGATACAGAACAAGCTTTCCTTGAATTGTTTTAGAAACATTTCAGCATGTTTTTACATTTCTTCTTAAGTGTTCTCACTTTAGAGGGCCACTGCAAGTTCTGTTAGCAAGAGCACCGTGAAACACTGGTCTAATGTTATTGCCTTTGTGAAAGATGTGCCCCGTGTTCTGTTTTAATAACAGATCATTTTTTATCCATGTGTCTATGAGGGATTGTTTAAATCTATTAGCCTTTGTGTATTATGATTATGTCCATTCCCTGAGGATTACATACCTCCTTGTGTTCATGTAATGTTATTCTGCAAATACACCACAGAAAATACATTCTAGGCCAAAACCTAATCTCAAAACTATGGTAAAACAATGTCTTAGACATTCAGTGAATTCATAACCATATCACATAATAACTTTCTGTGAAGGAGCTTTTAGAGGCATCAAATGCTTCAGACATCTGGTTCCTATCACCATCACTGCGAACAATTCACCCTGAATGACTAACAATGGAAATAATTCATACATTTTGAAAAATCTGAAAAAAATATTTCATAATTTTGTCAAAGAAAACAGAAAAAGTCAGAAGTGCAGACTCAGACCCGTCAATAAAGAACACACTCTATAATGAAGTGTGTACAGTCGTGTGCAAAGGTTTAGGCACCCCTGGTCACTTTACATGTTTTGTTGATTTGGAAAATAAGTTAACGCACCCTCAACAGAGAGCAAACTTCTGCACGTTTTAATGCACAATAACTGTTAATTTGCTTAATTTAACATACAGGGAAAAAACATTTTATAACGTTTTATTTTGTCCAGTGTTTTAAACTCAATAAATAAATAAAAAATGTGCACTAAAACTTGCAGAAAAATGTCATATGTATGTTAGTTCTGTTGTTATTTTTACTATGAAAATCAACAAAACATGTAATTTGACTGCAATCATATAAGTACGTTTGCTCATTTTGAGCTTTCTGGTAAATATCTACACTATGATGTATATCATGCTCAGCTTTAAAACACTGAAACAGTGTCTTCAAATGTTAGACCTGAAAATCTCAGAGTTCATTAAAAAACTGATTGTTCACCAGCATTAATTATATTTTTAATATTTTGCCACAATTATTGCCTTAATGAGCAGTTAAGTATGTGCGTGCCACAGCCGTATGAATCACTTAGTTACTGTGATAAAGCACTTGCCCCAAATACTCTGAAATGTTTACAATACATGAAGTAAGGAAAGCCTACAGTTATGAAGCCAGATGTCCTTGAAAAGGGATGTGAGGGTGGAAAAAGTAGCCTAACCACTAGGAGTCCATAAATTCCCCTCCCTGCACTTCCGAAGAGTTAAAGATTTGCCTTGCTAGAACATTACAGAGAGACATTTATCTGATTATGGCAGTAATAATTACCCAGCTGTTTATTACAGATAGAGGAATAATTCATGCAGGAAACAGGCCACGGTGGCAATGACACTCCGCATTTAGTAAATATGCAAGCCGCTCACTTCTAATTACTCAAGCCCAGAGGAAGCCCTTATTAAGCGGCGGAACCTTAAGTGTCTTTTTGACAAATGATAAATTGTTATATTGCACAAACTCTTGCTGCGGAATTACCGCGGTGAACTTGGGTCCTGACTTCATTAAGATATGCAGGAGAGTGAAGATGGACACGGGAACGTGGCGGCTCCTGTCGCCAGGCTTGAGCTAATGAAACGACGCCGGTGTTTTCCTTTTTTCCTCAGTGGGTTGAGATCCTTCACTGCTGGCGGGGGGGAGGGGGAAGGAAAGAGAGGGGGCTGCCCTGACGTGGGCATATGCTGGCCTAATATCATTGGCATGTCAAGCCAGTCGGCTCATGCTAAATGGGAACCATTAGTAAAATTCTGAATAATTTATTTAGTCTGCGTGGATTAAAATCCTGGCATGGAGACCTTTGAGGGGTGACTGATCAGCCAGTCGGTGATTCCAGGACCAAAGCAGAGCAGATTCTCAGAGTCACTGCAATCGTTCACTGACTGATCAAGACCACAGAAGCACTACATAAACAAGTGATTAACTGACTGACAGACAGAACTGAGATGAGACAGAGAGACAGAGAGAGAGAGAGAAAGAGAGGGAGAGAGAGAGACAGAGAGACACAGAGAGAGAGAGATTGTCTCAAAGTTATGCTTTGTCTACACTGAGTAGAAGCCTGTTGGTGTGCATATTGGTATTATTGCTACCACAAAATATGTTAGACTGTATTTATGCTTTGTTATGCTAACTATGATGATTTGTATGTGTAAACATCATCATAGTCAGCAGTAAAAACATTAACCAGCTGTATTTAGAAATATAAAAATATACTTCTGTAATTGTTTAATACATTTAGATTTTTTACAGTGTATTCTTAAACGTGTCACTTCTGTTTGGTTTATCATCGCTGTAAAACCCTGGTATCTCCATTTTATTGATTTTTACTTCTTTGCAAATGTTTCGGTAGTGACTGTTTCAATAATGATGATTTTAGATTATTCTGAGCAGCTCAAAAAAAGCAACCAGTACATTACTAGCAAACAGAGCTTTGAACAGTTTTTTATTTAAAAAAAGTCTTTCAACTTCTCTTTAAAAGAAATACAAAAATAAATTAACAATAATAATAATAATAATAATAATAATGACATTGGAAAAAATGTAAGTATTATTTTCACAAGTTGAAATTTAGAACAGGACAGTCGCTTCTCAGAAGAAAATACCTTATAAAAGAAGAATTTGTATATATTTAAATGATCTCAATTGATGCCTTGAGTTTAAATAGATCATAACATAATCCTCGTAAATATTTAAATTTAATTAGCTTTTTACTGGGGGCCACTGTTTGAACTAATTCGGAGGAATTATTATTCTACTGTATTCTTACTATTTATTTTGTTGATCAATTCCAACAAGTCCCACCCTTAGTTACACCATACGTTGACCTCTTCATTACAAAGTGCCGGTAGGTCAGTACCTATGTTTATATTTGTGCTGTTAGAAATGTAAATTCTTTAATTTCTCAATAATTCTCTTAAACAAACAAAACTGATTTTTCCTGTTTATTTCCAGCCTCTGCTGTTACTGATTTCACTCACTCATGTGTTCCTGCTTTAGCAGTACTGTGGTATTGAGCTCACAGCGTGTGTTGACTTGTTCTGAATTTGTTTCAGATACAGTGCGTTACGGTAAAAGGCCTTTTTATAAACCTCACCGCTTTCTACATTAGAGAAGTGACTCATAGGTGAGAAACCCCATTAAAAGCAAGCAGCATCAGTGGGGTGGGTGTTGTGGGGGGTGTAGGTGGGTTCTGGAGTTACTGATCCAAAGAGCACTTAACAAATTTACATTTAATTTTAGGCGAACCCTTAAGATATTTTCCCACAAAATATATTGGCCACATTAAAATGTGACTTCAAGTTTTTATCAAAGGTAAAAGATGGTATCTTTTTTGCCCCTAAAGCATGTGTGTTTTATTAATGCAGGAGCTCGCTGAACACAGGGGCTAATTTTTTAATTTCATAACATTATTCGCTTGTGAATAACCTGAGGCAGAGCAGATTATACACGGCGCGCTGCTAATGTGCGTATTTTACACGTGATATTCCTTTTAGAAGATTCATTTCTCTTTGAGGAAAATCTCGGAACTGAACGTTCGTAAACCTCCTGTATACCAGCACCACTATAATGTACACAGTGCACTGAACCTTGTTCCAAATTTTTATATTCACTTTCTTCATTTTTATTTTATATGCAGTAATAACTTATACAATGCAGATTCATATCTTATGAAATAGACACCAAAATGCATTTAAAGACGTTTTTAGATCGAAGATTTGATCACCACTTTTTAAAGGATATTAATTTTATTATAATGTCATTTTAACGCTATACAGCTTTCTTATCTACAGCTACATTTGTTTTTATATCGTAATTTATATTTTATATTGATTCTAGACTTTTAACCAATGATTCCAAAAGTTCAAACATGAGTGCAAACCTATATAATATTAGCTTGTGTCTGTTTGCTAAAATAGGAGCAGGGATTAACTATAAAATCTCAGAGTAAACATATACTGAATAGATCATAAATTAATTTTTATAAAAAAAAGAAACGCTGTAAGGATGGTTTGTAAGATCAACCTAAAAAATATTGGTATTATTTGGTAACAAGTAACTGAACCAGTTTTATTCAACCTAAATAAACACTTTGAATGAACGATTCTTTCAATCAATATATATATATATATATATATATATATATATATATATATATATATATATATATATATATATTTTAAGTTGAATAAAACTGGTTTAATTGCTTGTTACCACATGAAATATATATATTTTAGGTTGAACTGACAAATCTTTTACAGTGCAGGCCTCAACCAGTAGCACCAGGACTGCTGTTTTGAACAACAAAATAGTGGGTGGCCTTCACTGTCACTCTGGGGGGCTTGTGGGGGGCCACAGTAACTCTGCCAACAGTGCTGGTTATGAAGGTTTATTACACAGCTGTTTGTGGTGTAGCTTAATCCCTGTTTCAGGATCCTACTTTAAGAGAACTTTAAGAAAACTCCATTTACTATGATAGCTAGCGGCCCACTTTAACTGTAGGAAAGAAATCATATGTTAGCTTAGTATCACATTAGCTACCGCCCCCCCACCCCCCACCTCCTCAACATCAAGGCTCACAGTGTTTCCTAACAATTGTACTTCACGCGTGGTGCATTACACATGCCTGGGCTCAAACATGCCAAAGCCTCAGGCCTCAGCTCATCTATAACTTTGTAATGGTTACTTTATTTCCCACAGTGATCCAGCTTTTCAACGTTCCACCACATGTTTCACTTTAAGCAGTATCACACATTATAATATAGTAATAATTCTGATTGGTTTAGCATTGTGCTCCTACCTGATTTGCTCATTCTTCTGGGTCAGGGCTTCCAGGTACCTTTTCCGTGCATAGTAATTGTGAACGTACTTCCTCACGTAGTAGCCTCTCCATCTCTGCTGAATCTGTCCAAAATACAGAAATTATTAATATTACTGGAATTTTTATGCTATGGCACAAAAAGTCACATGTAATTGTCTGTTCGGTTTACTTCTTGGTCAGAAGCATGTGGTCATTAGTCGCTTTAGTATCACTGATTCCACACTAGGTGACTGAATGCAACCACACAGCCACGTAACTAAGGAAGCCTTTGACTTTCCATCATAAATACTTGTTTGCTTGCAGTTGCTGTCACAGAAACGAATTGAGCATGTTGGGCAGCGATAACTCAGGCTCTGCAGTCCTGCACTGAAGTGGACAGATGTCCTTCAGGCTAATTAGAAGCTTAAAACAATAGCAGGAGAAAAATAATAAGGCAAAAACAAAACAAAACGAGAATTGCCATTGATCAGCAGTCAATAGATAATTCTAAATAAAGTAATTGCCGGCTCAGATTCCAAGTTCTCGGTGACCTTTCAGACAGGTAAAATCAATGATGCATATTGCTCAATTAGATCTAATACAAATCTGTGCCCCCTTGTAAACACTGGTTCTATTAACAGGCCTGCGGTAAAGAGCACGATAACGACTGATAGAAAAAAGACGGCGGCGCAAAAAGGTGCAGCTCGTTGTAGCTCACATCCAAAATACGCACAAAGAGCTTCACATGTGCTGGAAACACGTTTATTCAAATGCATAACTGATGAACTGTTTCTGGTCCTTAGCATTAATTAAGGCCAGATAACTACTTAATTACTAAATGTTGATCTTACATTACAAGCAAGTATACAAACATTTAGTGCATCCAAAAGTATCCAGATACTCATTCCAGGTACTTAATTCAGCTACTTTAAGGTGAACCCATCGCTGATACAGGTGTTCAGTCACACACTGGAGCAGCTGCACATGAGCCTCAGGTCACCATGCACAACGCCAAGCATTGGCTGGAGGAGTATAAAGCCCAGCATTGGCCTGTGGAGCAATGGAACTGTGTTCTCTGGAGGGATGGAGTTGGAGATTCCAGAACTAATTATCCAATATCAGTACCTGACTTCTGTAATGCTGTTGTGGCTGAATATAATCAAATTCTCACAGCAATGCTCAGACTTGGACAAACTCACTATTAATACCGTTAATTTCAGGACTTCAGGAGAAATGTTGAATGAGCAGGCGTCATATTGTGGATATACAGGACACGTATGATATATAACACATACCATCAGAAATATGTTATTAGACTCAGTATGGCATTATTGTTTGACCAATACGGCATAATTCAATTATTGTTCTTCATACACCATTTTGAAATATGATCTGCCAGTTTTATAACATTGAGATAAATGTTATACATATGATATAATTACATTTATTTTATTTTACACGTTAAAATCGTTATAACAAAATAATGTCCAGAATTCATCATTTAATGTCATTATCATTTATTAACCTGTTCTCGAAATATCAAGTACACCTTCTAAAAATACCTTTTGGATGATAGCCTGTAATTTTCAAACCCAAGTTGTATAACAGATTATTGTATGTAAAATAACAGCATTTGTAAATATAACAAATGATTTTAACCTTTTAAATAGTGAAGTATTTTATTATGTATTCAGTCAGTTAAACCGACTGATTAACTAAATGATTAATATCCATATTATCTATAATAGTCACCCCTGGTCAAATGACACATTTACACATCCTCTACATCGAACAACCTTAAATTCTGAATTTTCCTCCAAATTTCAGTGCACAGATTATATTTATGTGCTGAGATTGACATATTGGAAAAACATAAAATCATGTGCTATTTTTGTTGATGTTTATTAAAAATCTGTAAAGATTAGTTTAGAAATCTCCATACGGGTCTATTTTATCTGATAGACAGTTGAGGACATTTTGCTGGCAGAACATTATTCAGTTCAGTTCATAACCTAAACAGGCACTGAGGCAACCCGATGTTAGTTGTTCTTGTTGGAGAAAGTGCGGTGAAAGCATGGCTGATCATACAGACTCTTCTGTGCCCTAAACTCGACTCATACTGGAAAGAAAGAAATTCCATCACTATGATTTTAAGATTTAAGAGATACCTTAGAGTTTTATTAAATTTAGGATTCATTCCAGAGAAGTTCAGAGAGAGCAACTGATGTTTATTGAGAATTCTGTTGCCACCAGTAAAATAGCTGCCACAAAGTAATGGCTTTACAAAGTTTCACCAGCAAAAACTCAGTGGCTGGATATTGTTGAGAAAGTTCAGCAAACGGAACGAGCCCTAAATCTTTAGAAGGAAAAGGTCCATGAAGACAACGGGACTTCTTTATCAGAAACTGGAGACTAAGATTAAAATTGATTTACTTTAAAATATTGGAAAACTCTATCTGCTTCTATTTATTTATTTCTACATTTAATTTTATTCCATGTGCAACTGATTAACATGCCTGCTTGTTCTTATTTGTTATTTTTAAGAAGAAATATCTCAAGAAAATATCAAAACAAAACATCATTTGATCAGGAGCGGCTAAACTATTGCATATGACTGTATATGATATAATATAATATACTATAATAGTTTGGTGACTAACATTGAGCCAGTAGGGATTGTGGCATTTAATCCTCACACATGAGGCATTAAGCAGTAAACACATTGAAAAGTCAGCCAGGTTTTAAAGAAGCCTGGATGTGATATATTCTGTATATCCAGTCTGGGCCTGAAATTCATCCGTCCATTTTCACAATTGCCCCTTATTTTCTCCCTTATAAATTTTTACATTCCCGCTTCTTCCCGGACATAACACTCTATCTTTTACAAGAGCTGTAAAACACGTCTGGCCTGTTGAGCTGCTTCTGTTGGTGTCTAAGTGGTGACGAGACCTTCGCTCTCCAGGACTATGGCCTCTGGGAAGAGGTCAAGCACCATCACTCCAATTAGACTCATGTAACAGCAGCAGACAGAGAGCTGGGTTCCACCCTGAAATGCTCATATAAGTCCTGATTCCCAGTGAAGTCCAAACACTGCTATAATGGCATTCCTCAATGCTAACATGCTGTTCTTCAATAAACTCTGAAATTTTGTAAGACTTGTAAAAAGTTTCTCTTCAGGGAAAAACACTACACGGGATTGTAAAGCTACAGTTTCAGTGCATATCTGTCCACCTATAAAAGTGCCAAAGCATCACTCAAACAGAACCTTCTTGATTTATAGGTATTGAAATACAACATGCTGGACTGATAAAACTGTAGGACTGACAATTAAAAGGGGAAAAACACATTTTAGTTGTGAGCTGCAAAGACTTCGCTGACAAATTCTCCATCTAGTTTGAATGCAGGTAATAGAATCTGTGATTTTTGCAGTTTGTTGCAGGCAGCATGGCTAACCATATGGTAAAGAACAGAAAGCGGCATTTTCCCAGCTCAGACTGCCAAAAGCATTCACCAGTTTACGTTCACCAGTTTACGTTCACCAGTTTACGTTAGAGTTTGTAATCTGTTCAACCCTTTTTCACTGTAGTCATATTTTCCACATATTTTGGAGCTGAACTTCCGTATTTTCTCCAATAATGTCAATCAATTAGTTTGATAGAAAGCATATTGTATTTCATTTCCATAGATGGGCAATCAAGTCAACCTTTATGTCAGTATTTTATTGTGTGTAAATGCTATTTTTACTGTAGCATCTGTATTCATTTTTTGACATCAAGAAAATTGTAATTGCACTCTGAGTTCTATCTCAGTGCGGCTGTCTTTGTGGGGAGGTGTGACTTGTTCGTCACAGCAGGTGGTTCTCACCTCGGCCCTTTCACTGCTCGCTAACAGCTCAGCACAGAGTCTGTGTTCGAAACAGTCCACAACACACTGCTCACGTACTGAGTCTGCCCAGAAGTAGTGAGTACTATGCAGTATGTGACCAACATGAATTCCTCCAGTATGCCAAAGATACCCGGATGATTTACTGCTCTGGCAAATTTTTCCAGTAGGCTGCCAGAGCTAACTCCGTGATACACTGCATCCCATAATGCAACGCGGCCATTCCGAGAGGACGTAACCACTGACGTAACCACCTGGATATTTTTAATAGCTCTGGATTCGGCCTTTCTTCTATACGTTAACAGCGGCTTTGACCGAATGCTGCTGCATTCAGCGCAGTGCTGAAGCCACACCAGCTTTCTCTGCAGGTCTTGAGGTGGGTTTGTTTACTTTGTCTGCTGGTGTATTTTACACTCTCTCTACCAAAATATCAAAATACTCACTGAAAGGTGGCTAGCAACAGTTGCTAAGCAGTGATTGGAGGGCTAAGGAAAAAAGGGCGAGTCTTGAGTCTAGACGGTCCAGTTGGCTCAGTCCTGGATGTTGGCAGGCCAGTCGCGCCCCTGTCCCTGTAGCATGGCACACAGCTTGTGTCGTATACTGGACACTGTACAGTATACTACTGGTAAAGAGCAGTACACAGTATATCCTGATGCAGTACGCAGTATAGACTGATGCAGTACACTATACACTGGTGCAGTACACAGTACACAGTATACACTGATGCAGTACGCAGTATAGACTGATGCAGTATGCAGTACGCAGTATATACTGATGCAGTACACTATACACTGGTGCAGTATGCAGTACACAGTATACACTGGTGCAGTATGCAGTACACAGTATACACTGACGCAGTATGCAGTACCCAGTATACAGTGATGCAGTATGCAGAACACAGTATACACTGACGCAGTATGCAGTACACAGTATACACTGATGCAGTATGCAGTACACAGTATACACTGACGCAGTATGCAGTACACAGTATACAGTGGTGCAGTATGCAGTACACAGTATACAGTGGTGCAGTATGCAGTACACAGTATACACTGGTGCAGTATGCAGAACACAGTATACACTGACGCAGTATGCAGTACACAGTATACACTGACGCAGTATGCAGTACACAGTATACAGTGGTGCAGTATGCAGTACACAGTATACAGTGGTGCAGTATGCAGAACACAGTATACACTGACGCAGTATGCAGTACACAGTATACACTGACGCAGTATGCAGTACACAGTATACAGTGGTGCAGTATGCAGAACACAGTATACACTGACGCAGTATGCAGTACACAGTATACACTGACGCAGTATGCAGAACACAGTATACAGTGGTGCAGTATGCAGTACACAGTATACACTGATGCAGTATGCAGAACACAGTATACAGTGACGCAGTATGCAGTACACAGTATACACTGGTGCAGTATGCAGAACACAGTATACAGTGACGCAGTATGCAGTACACAGTATACACTGGTGCAGTATGCAGAACACAGTATACACTGACGCAGTATGCAGAACACAGTATACAGTGGTGCAGTATGCAGTACACAGTATACACTGATGCAGTATGCAGAACACAGTATACAGTGACGCAGTATGCAGTACACAGTATACACTGATGCAGTATGCAGAACACAGTATACAGTGACGCAGTATGCAGTACACAGTATACACTGGTGCAGTATGCAGAACACAGTATACAGTGGTGCAGTATGCAGTACACAGTATACACTGACGCAGTATGCAGTACACAGTATACAGTGGTGCAGTATGCAGTACACAGTATACACTGACGCAGTATGCAGTACACAGTATACACTGACGCAGTATGCAGAACACAGTATACACTGATGCAGTATGCAGTACACAGTATACAGTGGTGCAGTATGCAGTACACAGTATACACTGATGCAGTATGCAGAACACAGTATACAGTGACGCAGTATGCAGTACACAGTATACACTGATGCAGTATGCAGAACACAGTATACAGTGACGCAGTATGCAGTACACAGTATACAGTGGTGCAGTATGCAGAACACAGTATACACTGATGCAGTATGCAGTACACAGTATATACTGATGCAGTACACTATAAACTGGTGCAGTATGCAGTACACAGTATACACTGGTGCAGTATGCAGTACACAGTATACACTGACGCAGTATGCAGTACACAGTATACAGTGGTGCAGTATGCAGCACACAGTATACACTGACGCAGTATACAGTGGTGCAGTATGCAGTACACAGTATACACTGACGCAGTATGCAGTACACAGTATACAGTGGTGCAGTATGCAGTACACAGTATACACTGACGCAGTATGCAGTACACAGTATACACTGACGCAGTATGCATTACACAGTATACACTGACGCAGTATGCATTACACAGTATATACTGATGCAGTACACTATACACTGGTGCAGTATGCAGTACACAGTATACACTGGTGCAGTATGCAGTACACAGTATACACTGACGCAGTATGCAGAACACAGTATACACTGATGCATTATGCAGTACACAGTATACAGTGGTGCAGTATGCAGAACACAGTATACACTGACGCAGTATGCAGTACACAGTATACAGTGGTGCAGTATGCAGTACACAGTATACAGTGGTGCAGTATGCAGTACACAGTATACAGTGACGCAGTATGCAGTACACAGTATACACTGATGCATTATGCAGTATACAGTATACACTGACGCAGTATGCAGTACACAGTATACACTGATGCAGTATGCAGAACACAGTATACACTGACGCAGTATGCAGTACACAGTATACAGTGGTGCAGTATGCAGAACACAGTATACACTGACGCAGTATGCAGTACACAGTATACAGTGGTGCAGTATGCAGTACACAGTATACAGTGGTGCAGTATGCAGAACACAGTATACAGTGACGCAGTATGCAGTACACAGTATACACTGATGCATTATGCAGTATACAGTATACACTGATGCATTATGCAGTATACAGTATACATTGATGCAGTATGCAGTACACAGTATACAGTGACGTCACTTGTTTTCTTCATATTAGTTAACCATATTAATAGAGTATCTCGTGTCTTTTTAATGTTAATTAATAACATTAACTAGAGCCGTTGTTACTTGTTCACTTAATATTAGCTAATCAACACTAATGAAGTTCCTCATGTGCTGTTCATCTAAACAAATGCAGAGCTTAATGTTAGTTAGTCAGCACTTATTGTAAAGTGTTACCATGTAATGGAAAAAAATAAAAACAGAAAATATAAAACGTGCCATAACGTTTGCACAGGCTACATTTTCTGTTTATTTTTTTCCGCAGTATGTTAAATTTAGCAAATGTAAACCTACATTAGTTCTTATACTGTATGTAAAAAAATGAAAGAGTTGTAAATCCAAAAAGAAAACGATTTTTCTCAGAGGGCTATTTTGCATTACTATACCCTGCATGTACCTGTAAGGATTGAACACGCCTGGTCAATCCTGTTTTGTTTTGTTGATTTTCTAAATGAAATTAACACATTCTCTACAGAGGACACACGTAAATATGCACATTTCCTGCTCATTTTAGTGCACAATTTATATTTGCGTTTAATATATGGAAAAAAATTAAAACATAAAATACAAAATGTACCATAATTTTTGCACAGGCCAAATATTGTGTTTTATTTTTCCCAACATGCAAAATTCAGCAAATAAACTCAACAAAACATGTAATGTGACCAGGGCGCCCAAACTTTTGCATATGACTGTATTAGTGAACACAGTGTGACGGGCCTGTGCCATTACAGGTGGAGTTGTAGTGGGTGGGGCTGAAGGCCTCATCAAGAACACTACTTACACCTGTGCGGTGTGCTTGTGGCGGGAGCTCCTCTACTGTTTTGTTGTTTGTGTCCCGGGCAGTTTGTTTTTTTGGGCCAGTTTTCTTTTGTTCATTATGCTTCAGTTCATTTGTTTATTTTGGAGTTATTTTGGCCAACAGTTTTTGTCCTTGAGATTTTTGCACCAGATCCTTAAGTTTATTTCTTATTAAAATCATTTTTTCATTTATTCACTGTGTGCTTCTCTTTTATTGGTCATGATGTTGATCCAGTCATGACAATAGCAAGTGCAGAGTTTCCTGAATACTCAAGAACTCTGTTACCACTAAACTGTAATACAATTAGGGCTACATCATGCGTATCAGCTGCACCTTGACTTTTGCTTATCAAAGGCAAGACGATCTGTTTGAAGATTTCATCAGATGTTTCAGCACAAACTTGAGACCAAGTGACTTTTCATTGGCTAAACTGTGGGAGAAATATTTACCTTGACAGCCATCTTATTGTAGAAATTCATCTTCATGAGAAAATATGCTGTCTGTGGGGAGAGAGAGAGAAATAGTATTACAGTAGAGTCACTGAGCCAAAGCTTTCTGATCCATTCTCAACATGCAAGAGCGAAAACCTACTTTATACATAATACATAATGAGTCATGGAGCCCTGGCTGAGTGAGGCAGGACAGAGAGGGGTATCAGACTCTGTATTGAAGGGACATGGCTGTTCTTAATACATAATGCAGACGTGGCAGGGGAAAATCTATGGTAGTCAAGCTGGGAGCTAATGGAGATATATGACAAAATGCTCCACGCAGAGTTTGATAATCAATGGCGCCCCACCAGGAATAAACTGACTACCCAAAGAGAATATTCACAACATGCAACGCTGTGATTTATCTACTGTGGACTGGTCAGGAAGCACTTGAGAGAACTTTTAATATGATCCAAAACTGCCTCACAATTTTAAGATTCCCATTGTGACATTAGGTAAATGAAATAAGTATTAACCAAATAAGAGACTCAGACCGCAGTCCATTAACTTGTGCAGTGGGCGTTGTTTTTATTAGGGATGCACAGATAAGGAAATGTTGAGCTGTGAGCAACATCTGATATTTTTCATGTGTTAAAAGATTGTGTTAAATCACTGATATTAAAGGGTGCCCAGTGAACTACGTATGGCTTGGATAAAGGGGAAGTCCACCAATTATGAAAATGTCAGCATAATTCTAACGTTTAGATGTCTATTTAATCATTTAGTCGTTTGAAGAGAAATGGTGGAACCAGGGGTCGAGAGGTCCACAAATATAGCCAATTTCATTTCCTATATAATTGTCCAGTCAACCTACGTTAGTTTTTGTACTGTATGGAAAAGAGTAAAATAGTGGTAAATCCAGGGGGTACTATTTAGCATTATTATAACACCCTGCATTTACTACTCTGGGGAGAATGTACAGTCATTTGCAAAGGTTTGAACACCCCCGGTCAAATTGCATGTTTTGCTGATTTTTTAAGTGAAAATAATCCTCTACAGAGACACGGTTCTGCACATTTTAATGCACAATGACTGTTTATTTGCTAAATTTAACATATGGGCAAAAAAAAAAAAAACACAAAATGCTAACATGCTGTACATGGAACAAATAAAATTTTAGCACACTATGTTTATTTGCATTTAACATAGAAAAAATTAAACATATAAAAAAGGTGCCATAACTTTTGCACAGGCCTTATTTTAAGTTTTATTTTTTCCAATATGCTAAATTCAGCAAATAAACAGTAACTGTGAATTAAGTATGCAGGAGTGATTTCTCTGTAGAGGATGTGTTCACTTATTTACACTTACGAAGTCAACAAGACATTTAATTTGACCAGGGCGCCCAAACTTTTCCACATGACTGTATTGACCAAAAACTTCTCTTAAAACTATCGTAAAACAATGTCTCGGGCATGAGGGAATGTACCGGTAACCATGTCTTGTCATAGCTTTCTGTGACGAAGCTTTTAAAGGTGTTAAATGCTTCAGATGTCTGGTTCCTATCACCACCACTGTGAACAGCTCTGACTGTGGACATTTCTCTACATTAAACCACTCTGAACGGCTTCACATCTAAATGATTTAAAAATCTTTCACTTTAGAAATTCCCATAATACAGACACGGCATAGTAGTCCATCATCACCCAAATGTTCCGCTCTTGAAGAATAAATGCTTCATCAAATATTGCTAAATATCTACATTACTGTCAAATTTAATTGTCCAATGATTCATCATGCCTCCCTAGTTTTTTGTCACGCATAGCAAATAAGAGTTCTCTCAGAACAGTCTCTGCTGTCTTCTTCAAGAATGTCCCCTAAATACACTTCTGAAACCAGGTGTTCCGAAAGTGGTAGCTATTTGTTTCATATGCTAATGTATGATCCCTACATAATCCATTTTTCCTTTCTGAGGATGCAAAACAATATTCAGCTGCTCTGACAAATGTATCCTCAGGGAAAAAGTTAAACATTTATGAGTTACCGATTTGCATGAGCAAAAAACTTTACCATTGACAACTAAGAGCAGCAACATGGAGATCATCTCGAAACAGTGATGACAGACAGAAAAGGAATAGGAGCATGAAAACGGTGCTCCTTTAACAGATAGGTGAGATAAAGGCATTCCATAGCAAATCAATACGGATTGTCAAATTACAAAGCTACTTCAGATGTAAGTCGTGGCATGCCTGTAACTGCTGAATGTTAATGAGCGTAATCATAACATAATCAATATTACACGACTCTCCAGCTTACCTTTACCCTTTGCCTGAAGTGCTCCCGTGCTTTGAAACCCCGCCATGTTTTCTGTATCATCGTCGCCTTCCTGTGGATACGGCTGCAACAGTGTTTCCCAGTTAATCACATTCCATTATAATATTAAGAGCACTGTGCAAGAGATTAACAACTCCACAGTCCAACCTGAGATGAGACCATTTTAGGGAACATTTAGAAACCTTTCTCCTGAGAGCCCCCAAATGGCCAGCACTTCTTAGACAACTCTACATTTGCATTCATCATGAAAAGCTCCCCTCTAAATGCATGTCTATGGCGATTTTGAACTCAAGAAGGCCATCAGTTTCAAAAAGACCATTTATAACCCCAGAAAATCAATGCGTAGATGGGGAGGGTGGTAACCCAGGAGCTGCACTTAAGGAGCTCAGATTGTGCCTAATTAACCACTTAACATACTGATCAATTAACTAAAGTAATCTAAATTAACCTACTGTCTGGAAGTTTGTCTGCTGAACGCACAGAAATATATTGAGGTTACGTTGCTGGAGCACCAAGTGTTCCTGCTAATTTCTATGTCTAAAGACTAAAATAGTCGTGATTTAGTGCACAAAGGCCGCGTAAAATGGAGCTCAAGGCTGGAATTGCCCCACAGCACTTTAAGCTCATGAAAAGACAACGATGAATCCTCAGCGCTTGATCAGTTACACAAGCCAAAAGTATGCAGACACCTACACATTGCACCCCTACATGCTTGTTAGACATTCCATTCCATATCCATGGACAGTCGGTGGTCCTGCATTGCATTTGCGTGATCTACCGCTTCGTGGCTGAGCTGTTGTTGCTCCTACACACTTCTATTTCACAATTACAGCACTTAGAGCTGACTGGGTCCAGCAGGACGGAACTTTCACAAAAAGACTTTTGGCAAAGGTGGCATCCGAGCCGGTTTAGGACGAGCCTGGCCACTTTTTATTTCCCCCGTTATATAAAAATAGGACTGCAAAACAGCAGAGGGCGCCTGCAAGCGAGTCCTCAATGAATGGGAGTGAATGGAGCTCAATGGCTAAAAACGAAAAGTTAAAATAGTTTGTAATCACACAGAACTTTCCTTTAGTTTTGACGTATTTCACTAAAAAAGCAAAGAAAACTCACCTGTGTGTCTCCTTTTTTACAGCAAACAGATTTTGGGCAGCAAGACACTAACATTACTAATACTTAGTGCTGATTGGCTGGAGCAGCTCATTGGCTGTTTGTGCTCACTGTCATGGACGTACATGAGGCGTCATTTTAAACTCTTATAACTTGAGTTTGAAAGCTCTTATAAATATTACACACACACACACACACACACACATCTTCTAAGCCGCTTATCCTTCTGGGTCGCAGGGGGGAGCTGGAGCCTATCCCAGCAGTCATTGGGTGGAAGGCAGGACACACCCTGGACAGGTCACCAGTCCATCGCAGGGCAGACAGACAGACAGATACATTTTATAAATATGACAGAAGTGTTAAAATGTTTTATGATGTTCTGTGTTCAAGAAATGAATGTATTCTTTTATATTAAAAATGTTGAAGCATTTATAAACTACGATTTTGCTCAAATGCTTGACGCTCGGTTAAGATTCATTTTGGACTTGCTCGGGAGCGCCCTCTAGCGTTTGAGGAACCCGGAAGACATTACAGAGTGGAAATTCTCCTCGCTGTAAGTTCTACAGTCCTACACAGTGCCTCGTTTAAAGTCACCAAGCTCCTCAGTACGACTCATTCTATTGGCCCTGTTTGTCTATGGGGGCTGCACGGCTATGTGCTTGATTTTATACACCTGTTAGCACTGAGTGTCGTCGAAACTCAATCATTTGGGTGTCCACATACTTTTGGCCATACTGTGTACTTGGACAATAGCCCTTTAAAAATGTTACCATTAATTTCTCGAATTATAACTTAACTGTGTCCATGTTAGACTCTCACCTCAGGTAAGCTCGCACTCGGCAGCCTCTGAACCAGCTTTGGATTCTGACCGCCGCAGAATTCTCCCGCTGTCTGTTTTCCTCCGCAATCCTATGAACGCAAAACCTTTCATTAGTTATCAAACACATCTGAGCTCCTCTCCCGTCTCCACTCTCTCTCCCCACAGAACCGGCAGCTCGTTAATTACTGCTGCACTGTTTAAGGTGGAACGGGAAATACGAACAGCACGCTGGGGGATGAGACGCTGAGCCGCTCTGTACTAAACCGCTCTGCGGCTCATCGTAACTAAAACCACATAACTTTACTCTTTTAAAGCTTTTGGATCATTCAGTTACCTGTTTCTGACGAAATGAGCCTCTTTTATGTTGTCAATCTGCATAAACAACTTCACCAGCCGCGCCATGCTCGTGTTAGTTTACATGCGTCCATGACAACAGGAAGAGTCCAATCGGGGGCGGCGGGGGGGGCGGTGTCCGGCTGTGTTTGTCAGAAGAGGCTGGATAGGGTTACTTTTGTTTACTTACACATACATGATTATCGGTTTTTAAGACAAAGACAAAGGTTTTCCCAAACAGCTGCCTTTAGTCAGCCTATCAGCACGAAAAGCACTGCCGGGCTATTCTAACAATTTGTCCTACCCACACATAGACGCTCCGAGACGCCGCGCTGTCTGTTGTTCTCTATCTGAGGCGGGACGTCTGCGCGTCCGCCATGTTGGAGAGGTCAAGATCCGCTTGTGAACAGATTCGCTTGTATTGAGAGATGAGGAGTCTCAGGATTAAATGAGCCACAACTTCCTTATTACTCAACCGATTTTCACCAAATCTGTGTAGTTATAATCCTCAGACACAGATTAATCCAGGCTGCACAGATCTGCTCTCGGTAGCTTTTATTACTTTAATAACTGATCGTGATAATTAGCCGTCCAGACCAGCAGGAGAGTATTCAGTCTGCACCTGACGATAAAAACCAAGTTTAACACGAGAAACACAATCAGACACATCAGCAAATCATCAGTGTGTGAATCACTTCTAATCTTAATACACATAAAAAATAAAACAAACCCCCAAAACACAGTAAGAAGGACGGAGCTGAAGTCGGCTTCCTATTCGCCAGCTTCTTCGACTTTTCCCATTCCACCTTAAATGGTGCAGCAGCCACTTTCTGGTGCCTGAAGCTGCACAATTTAAGGTGGAACAGGAAAATTTGAACAAGAAGCTGGAAAATAAGAAGCTGACTTCAGCTTTGTGTAAGAAGGTGCTAACGTTAATCTGTTATTAATATCTACACAGATTAATGAATACTGTAATTTACCGCTACAAAGCTTTAACCATCATGAGCGTGGATCGCTGCGGTACTGAATGCAGTCCAGCGGCGAGGTTGACCGCGCTAAAATGGCGGCGCCGTTGACGTGCCTGACTGGACCCAACGCGGCATCTAGATATGTATATCTATGGTCCTACTGAGCATGCGCATATCATTACTACAGCGTAGTAACTTATATTTTCAAAGTTTTTATTGTGTTTTAAATGTTAATTCAGTACAGACTCCGCTTAATGTTACTGCTTACTCCCTAATACGGTGATTCAGGCGATCAAAACATCCTAGTTTTAATGCTGGTAATGTTTTTCTGATAAGAGATTTAGGCTGTCAGTCTAAATGTCCTACCACGCCGCACATTTTTATTTAGCGCGCTACATAAAACTATAGGTGGGATATTCCGAAGGCTTAAATTACCCTTTCAGAAAATGCTGCCAGCACTGAAACGTATAGATGAGATCAGTTTGACAGCCTAAATCTCCTTATCAGAAACTCTACCAGCATTAAAAGAATAATTAGGATGTTTTGATCACCAATCACTTTATTAGGGAGTAAGCAGTAACATTAAGCTGAGTCTGTACTGAATTAATATTAAAACACAATAAAACGTTTGAAACTTTAAGTTACTACACTATAGTGATGATATGCGCATGCTCAGTAGGATCACTCGATGGGTAAGACTAATTGTTTGAAGGTCACGAACGAGTTGGACTGTATTTCCAGTCAGAGGTGAAAGGGTAAAAGACGGAGGTCGGTTCATGTTTTTGTCTACCACGTTGACACACATGAATGATGTGGTTACGGTCTGAAACAGCCTCTCCAGCAGAACCACAGGGTTGGATGTTAAAAACGTTGGCAGTCTCGAGCCTGAAACACAGGTGTGCTCCAGCCCGGAGGTGACGGGGCCCTCATGTCTCTGTTTGAAATGCCGGCTGTAGCTCTGAGCGGACAGTAGCGCCTCTGTCCTCAGTTTACTGTGGAGTTATTAATGCGGATGGTCTGATTAACCGGTTGGCCCATCTTACTGGGCCGCGGTTTAAATGTAGTGTCTCAGTTTTATCCCTATTCTGTTTAATGGGAACTGATCCGGGTAATCCAGCGCATCAGTGCTGCAGGCCGCGCGTGCGCCTCAGTTCTAAATTCAAAATGTAACGGAAGCCCTGCAGGTCAGACTGATGAAAGCAGCCGGCGGGTTGATGAGCCCGACAGGTGAGAGACAGTGAGGCTCGTTTAGTTCTGTTAGTTGTTGTCAGTTATCGCCCCGAAGCGCTTTACAGACTTAAAATGAGTCTCAGTGTAGATTTGACCGGTTACAGTCGGAGCCTTGACCTGGTCAGAGAACCCGCCGTTAGTCGTGAATTTAGCCAGGCGAGCTTGGCCACAGCTATCCCAGTAAACAAAGAACGTCTGTGGACGTCCAAAATGTGTTTAAAAATAGTCGGTCAGTCGGGGACATGTTATGAACGTCAATAGACGTCCAAAATCAGTTTCAAAAAGTCAGTCCATCGGTGATCTGTTAATAACGTCAGTGGACGTTTCACTATAACCCAAAAATAATGATAACGATCATGATAATAACAATACCAGTACCACTGCTTCTAGCCTACTGCTACTACTACAACAACTACTACTACTACTACTACTAATAATAATACTAATAATAGTAATGGTAATATATATTAATATATATTAATAATATATAAATATATACAGATATCCTATCTGATTCACACACAGGTCAGTGAAATCTGATGGTGACGTTGGGCTTTTGTGTGTGTTTGAAGCAGAGTAGTGTGAGATGAGGTGAGTCATAGATAATCCTGGCTGTTATCTGTCTCCACACACTAATAAGGTAAATATTTTCTGAAATAGTCGCTGCGCAGCTGCAACATACAAGGTAACAGCGTTAACAGTTACTGTAGCAGTGGTGTCACTGTAACAAAGGCTGTTTTATATAACGAATTACACGGAATTTACAGGGTATATTTGAATTACATGACCAAATCAAATTATTCAGTAACTTTATTTTATTTATTTATTTTTTGTAAAAGCTCCCCTCAAATTAACAGAACATGTGTTTTATGATCACACATATTGCTATATGCTTATAATTTACTGCTGAAAGCCAAAAATCTTAGACGCTCTTTGTATTATTTTATAAACATAATGTTTACAGAGCAGATCACTGAGGAGACGCCATCTGTTTATAGTTTATAGCCCAGATTTGTGGAAAAATGGGTCGACTTTCAGTAGAAAAAACAATTGTGAGTTCAGCTTCTTTTATTATAAGGGTTTAAAATTACATCACCATCTATTAGACTGGAAAGAAGACAGTTACAGCCTCATACGACCCCCACCTTTAGAATGTAGCTTATGAAACAAGAAAGTTATGAAGAATATGACGAAGAGTGTTCGTAAACGTTTCTATGACTATCTGGCTTTCAGTGTAATAAAGTTAATGAAAAGTGATTATTTAACACATTTAAATTAGATCAGCTATGTTGTAGTGCACTTCCACAACCTATTAACAACTACTAAACATAAAAATAATGAATAAAAATTTTTATAACACGAGACAAAGCGAGAGCATCGCTGTGAAACGGAACGCAATTTATCTTGATTATTTTGTTTTCATAATCATTGGAAGCCGAAATCATAATTGAAACCAAACCCTGATTAATCGCCCAGCCCTAGAATATCATATACCTTATTTTCTATCAGTACAACTGTTTTAGTGTTTTGGCATCTCTTGGTCAAGGTCACCTATTATGTGTCGTTGAATCTTATAAGTAACCAAAGTATCTAACCTTTTGACAGGATAACTGGAAAACTGTCCAACACACAATATGTGAGAAGAAATGAGCAAAAGCAGCGGAGAGAAAAGGAGCCTGTGAAGAGCTTTTAGCAAACTGGAAATTTGAACAGCTTTCATGCAGGAATGTTTTTCTGTGCTTCTTTTCAACAAACTTTTCCAAAGAGAGAGAAGGAAACTGCTTGCAAAGGTGGAAAACTGGTGCATTCACAAAGTGTGAAAAGCCAATTAGAATGCCTTTGGAATGGTTCACTATTCACTACATAGCAGTTGTTACATAGTGAACTGACTGTAGAATGGCCATAAGTGAAATTTAATTTTTTGAGATGTGGTTGAATCTGAATGCTTAGTTTGAATTTTAATTTAATGTAACTTTGCACCTGCATAAGCTGTTCCTTTAGCAACCGAAGTAGTTATTATGTTTGAAAATGAACACAGATCTGATCCTATCAGTTTGCAACGTTTAGTTTAGAGATCAGGATTTGAAAAAGAAATAGGGATTATCTGCAGTGTGCACAGACTATTGGTCTGAAACCAGTTTAAATCATTACACACTAACACGGGCCACATTCAGACTGCCACCTCACATTCATACTCCATACTCCAGCTCCTCATCACGTCGGTGGCACTTTATTTTTTCCTTCAAGCCATCCTTTCAGAGCTCCTGTCTGTATTGGGAGAGTGCGTGTGGGGCATCCGGCGACAGATCACCAATTTGCTGTCCTGCCGCACCGGAGTGAGGTGCTAGAAATACGAGCTGGGCTGTGACCCTTTGGCCGTGTGGCCCATCCATCCGTACTGGGCGCTGGGCCTGCCATCGCGGTAATGGCCTGCGAAGCTGCGTTTTGACAAGCTGGACGGCTGCAAGCCATCAGTCCAGCAGCATGGAGATGAGGTGATACCTGGAGAGGCTGCAGGTTTACACATGACCAGCAGACCCAGTTTCAGTCTGCGCTATAGGAGCCACTGCAGGGTTGGGTTAGTGGGGTCATGGTATTGTAAATTGCTTGTGATGATATGCTAATGCAAATCGCCTTGTTTTTTCATTTTTATTAATTCAGATGTTTTGGGTCCCTGTAATACAGCACTTTCTGGAATTACTGATAAGATCAGGTAAAATATTAATGGAAATTAAAGTTCTTTAGATTTTGTTCAGATGAATTTTTGGAGATGCCTATAATCACAACAGATTTTTTAAAATAAATTTTTTGTTATTTTTTGTTAAGATTGTTTCACTAATTTATCTCACTTGATAGTTTTTTTTTCCGTATTTACAGCATAACATCAAACTTTTTTTC